TTTAATTTGGAGTCTAGAATTAGATAGACAGGACTATAAAACATATTTTGTAAACAATCTCTCACAAGCATGGTTAGCAGAGATGGATAGTGGCTAGCAGTGGAATCCAGGACGCGCGTTTCGTCCTATTTGGGACTCGTCAGCTGGATGTACCTGCATCTCAGAGTTGATGTTCACTCTGGGACTCCAACCCAGTACCCTCGCCTCAAACGCCATCGCGTTATCCACTCGGCCACTGAGTCCTGATAGCCACTTGCTTGTGCGATGGGGTGAAGTTTAAATTCAACTTAGTATTGTTTGTTTGAATCTTCCCATCGATTTGTTAGGACTGCAACTGGTCAGTCTCTAATTGGCATATGTGCATACTGTGCGTATTGCCTCGATATACCTTAATTCACAAGCATGGTTAGCAGAGATGGATAGTGGCTAGCAGTGGAATCCAGGACGCGCGTTTCGTCCTATTTGGGACTCGTCAGCTGGATGTACCTGCATCTCAGAGTTGATGTTCACTCTGAGATTCGAACCCAGTACCCTCGCTTCAAACGCCATCGCGTTATCCACTCGGCCATCAACTCTGAGATGCAGGTACATCCAGCTGACGAGTCCCAAATAGGACGAAACGCGCGTCCTGGATTCCACTGCTAGCCACTATCCATCTCTGCTAACCATGCTTGTGAATTAAGGTATATCGAGGCAATACGCACAGTATGCACATATGCCAATTAGAGACTGACCAGTTGCAGTCCTAACAAATCGATGGGAAGATTCAAACAAACAATACTAAGTTGAATTTAATCTTTCACAGTTTTTGCATGTATTTTCATATTCTGTACATTTAGCATTAAACAATTGTACTTGTTGTTTAAGTGTACTACTTTGAACACTTGTAATTTGACTTCCTTCCGTGTTGAGTACAACATATCGCGACATTGTTACTGCTCCCCAATAAATACACTCTAACTTACATCTGCATCGTCCTGCCGTGTCTGCTAATATGTTTAATGAAATATTAATTGCATACCATCTCCGTTTATAGACAATTGTGACATTCTTATTGAATTCTACGCTTGGTAAATCTACTGGATCCATATCGTCCATATTGGGATTACTAATCTTTTATAATTGTGGATTATCTGGACCAAACTCAACTGAACGTGCAATAGCCTGAAGAATTAAGTAACGTCACTTATTTTTATCTGTGTGTAATTAACTTATTAACTGTTAATTGATACATAAACTTTAGACGTAATATTTTTGTTGCTATTTTTTGGTTATCATACTTTTTGGACCACCACACCATTGATGTTTAGGACTGCAACTGGTCAGTCTCTTATTGGCATATGTGCATAATGTTAATTTAGTTATTTATTCTCTAAAGAAGTGGCCTACACTGAGTCACGAAACGTCAGAAAATCTAATTATTCTACTTATTGGGATATTACAAATATATTATTTATTGATACCTAAATTTATTTTATTACTTGTTCAGAGTCAAAAGAATGTCGTCTGGGAAAGTATGTAAACGCTTAGTAGATTAAAAACTTATTCTCAGAAATTTTCGATAAGTAAACAAATATAATCTTATCAGAAGGGGGTTTTCTGCAGATTTTAGTAATTTTATATAGTTGAAATCGTGAGTCAATTGAAGCTAGATCACCATGGAAAACCTGGAAGCACTGCTTGACAACCGTATCGTCCGATTGAGGGACTCATCAGCAGTGTGAATCCACGATCCCGCCCCGCGAAATTCGAACTCAGGATCTACCAGTCTCGCACCAGTGCACTTAACCGACAGACCACTGAGCCGGCATCCAACGTTGTTAATGTGCAACTTAAACCAATCCACGAAATTGAGAAACCATTCACCAATGTCTTCAGTGGGTTGATATTTCCCAACAGACCTGGTTGAACTCCGCTCTACTAGTTACTATTATTTTAATAATAATCCGAACTCAAACATTAAATATAATCAGACATTGTATGATAAAAGATACTGAATACGAATCGTAGCCTGAAAAATTAGTTTTCTGTATTTCCAGACTATTCTTAACTGAACTAAAATATTATATCTCATTTCTAATAAATGATGCTCTGGAGGAAATTAACACAAGTATGTAAAAGATTGAGGCTCTATACATTTATAATCAAACAAGCAATATTTTTAGATCTAGACTTTTTTGAAAAAGTAACCTACGTACTAAACTCTCAATACTTTCAGAGCCTAGAAATTGTCGACGATATTGAAATAATAACAAAGCCTAGCATACATATCTTATCCACCAATTTTTAACGTACACTGTAGTATGTAGAAACATATTTACATATATCTCTTAAAATATATTTTAACTAATCAAGTCTTAAATTCAACTTAGTATTGTTTGTTTGAATCTTCCCATCGATTTGTTAGGACTGCAACTGGTCAGTCTCAGTGACCGAGTGGATAACGCGATGGCGTTTGAAGTGAGGGTACTGGGTTCGAGTCCCAGAGTGAACATCAACTCTGAGATGCAGGTACATCCAGCTAACGAGTCCAAATAGGACGAAACGCGCGTCCTGGATTCCACTGCTAGCCACTATCCATCTCTGCTAATCAAGTCTTAGTTTCCATTCACAAATCACACCATAAAAAAGAATTGAACAGTTGAACAACAACATACATAATCTAAGTCAAAGTACAGTTTCTACGAAAAGCAATTGCAAAAAAAACTTATAAAGAATATGAACTATGACCAAACTATAACAAACAACCAATTCAACTATGATAACGTTAAAAGATAAATGAAGTATTCAATTTTTATGTTTATAAGTGTTATTCATATTGTTGATGATATAACAGAAATAGGTAGACAAAAACCTACATTTGAAATCTATCGCAATTTGTTCTTAAACACTAATTACACTTCTTTTTATTCAATATAATGGTTACTCACTGTAATAGTTGGTTTATTTTCAGTATGATACTTTGTTTAGTATAACACTGATTTGCTTGGTCATGATTTTTATCTAAAATAATATTCTTTTTATTACCTTAGTGTGAAATTCGTACCTTGACTTTTGGTAGTAATCATGTGTATTTCCATTTTGTCATGTGACAATTGTAAACTGATCATCAAGTGTAATTAAAATCGATATATAAGTGTTATTTTGACTTATGTCCGAAGTCATATAAATTCACATCACTAGTCTTTTACCTCTCACTATGCGTCATCGGATTCGGGACATAGTACAAAGCACAAGACAAATAACTTTTCTGTAGATATAATTAATTTGAGTGACCAGTCACAATTTTTCAAAAACATTTACACATCGACCGATAATTAGTCAATTTGCACTGAATGGATCTTTTCAACCGAGTAGTTGTGAAAATTAAAGCTGATATCATTAAACAAGAATTGCTTAGTATTTAACTGATTATTCTGATAATTTCGAAACTGAAATTCAAAACTAACTTAATTGATAACTCTTCCTTGGTATCATATATATATATTAAACAAAATACCATCTACGATTATATGGGTCCCTAAAAAATTGATTCTATTCTCATGTGGAACAAGGAATAAGCGCATCTATTGTGTACAAGTTACAATTTGAAAACAGCTTGAGAAAAACAACAAACCGATTAGAGCTGAGATTGAAATTGTCCAAAAACCCGTGATAACGGATACAAAGAGTAAATAAATAATGAAATAGTCGAGTAATTTTGATAAGGAAGAAGTAATTAGACTTCTTAACAGATAACAAATGAATTAACCTACTTTTCTTCACTATATAGTAATGTTTATGCTTCCCGCTCATATAATTGAATTACGTTATAAGAAAATGGAACAATTAAAATTATTTTCCTTCGCCAAACAAATTATAATAAACGAAATTGGATTTCAGTTACTGGAATCGATAGTAGATTAACGTAAACTGAAGCAACTCACTTATTATCTATCAATATTCATATGTACATAGTTTACTATTTAGTATAAATATAGGATCTACAGATCAGTTATAATCAGAATAGCTCAGACGATGAAGTTGGGTAATAAAAGTTCGAATCCCACGGGATGCATCAGCCCCTTCATAATTGTAGGAACCTCTTGCTGACTAGAGTCAACTAGCATGAAAATTAGGTCAACTACCTTCGACCACTTACCATCAGTATTTGTATGTCAACACGCATATGCTCCTACTTACATAACTATGTCTAAGTACATATGGAAAACTACTTTTTGCCAATAGGTTGATAGAAGAAACAGATAACCAGCTGTGGAAAATAGATAAATTGGTCATTATTTCTAAGAAAAAACATGTATACTACGTAAATATGATTAAACGCAGCTGTGAGAATTAAAAAAGTTGAACTTATGCTCTGCGAAACTCAGTTATCACATGAAAAATTCAAGACCGATAAAACTGTATATCCAAACAACACTATTTAACAAGCCTTCAAGCGGGGTTAATGATGCATAACTAATGAAGGATTCAATGAAGATAGGGCGACCATTGTAGAAGTCTCTAGTAGTAATTCTAGTCATTCACATAAATCTGACCATATGATTTGCTTTTCAGTCTGATGAATTTATAATAAACGTCTAGTGGTCAACAATAAATAACCAACAAAAGCGAATGTCCTCAAAATCTAGGATACTGAGGTAATCATCCCGGGAATTCCGTACGCATAGAATAATGCATATATAAAACATAAGGATTGACATCACTGAGTGGTCTGTTTCAGAACGTCCCGAGGACAGATCTTATTCTATTACAATTACATTTCCTGAAGTTATACAACCATGATCATGGTCAACTATTACTTGCCTAAACTAAATATCTAACTATAATGATTATAAGCATAAGACTAATGTATTCGTAGTTATACAGTTGTGGAACATAATATTTGATATATTCTTTGGATTTATTGATGGGTTACAATAGGAGATTGAATAACAAGTACCTATGTATTAAAAAAACACTATTGAAAACAACCACCAATTCATAATTCACCTTACAAACGATGATTTACAATAAGAAACACTTGATTTTTAGAGGATTGCATAATTTGGAAAACAGTTCTTATCACAAATGGACATCAACTGCTATTTTCGAGTCTCATATTGCAGCTATAATCTCAGTAAGCTTTATTTAAGGACTACTAAAAGTAGACCATTGGATTGTGACGCTTTGTATCATTTTACATTAAACACAGTCCGCTTAATTTCAGCACCCGATACTAACGAACACTTTGAATTGTGGAATCACGGTGATCGAATAAAGCGTAGTTATAAACAAACAGAATTGATCTTGAAAACCCCCAACCCAACATTTGAAAGTCATCGATGACTCATAATAAACTTTTTAAAAAGGAGTCAAAACAATAATACCGACGTTATCTTCATTTCCCTTATTTTGACTATTCATCGTTATTATCAGACACTGAGTAAAACGTGTTTAATTATGATTTAATTTTTACTGAATCATAAAGCTAACGAAAATATAGACTATAAGAATATATACGAAAAATAGAGTAAGAATCATCATGTGTATGTGCTAACTTGTATCAAATTGATAATGAAAATAAGATCAATTTTAAAGACTATAAAAGTAAAATTATATGTACAGATAATTGTTCACAAAATAGTACAATTTCAAAGAAACACAATCGTCTGATGCGTGAAAAAAAAACAGGATTATTCATCACACTTGATGGACCAAAACTTGATATAACCATCATCAGAAGCTGTTGTCAGAATAAGTTGACAATCTGATGTATCTTTGCTATGACCGTTGTCGTTGAAACCCCTAGGTTGCCAACGTACACAGTTTACATCTTCTGAATGAGCATTCGGAACATAACCCCATAGAACAGGTGGTTCTTCTAAACACGGTTTCCCGCCAATATGAATCAAACCACTAGATGGCATTTTATAGATACATAATCTGTTATCAGAACCGCAACTGGCTAAGAGTTGACCATCTGGTGACCTGTCAAACAGTTGAGAGGAAAGCATTACATATATACTGTGAGAAAAAATATCGTTAATAAACTCAAACAAACGAAGTTATGCGCGTATAAACTAAAAGTCGCCAATTTTTAAAGCTTAATTTTATTTTGTATCCAAACGTCGGCTAAACACTGATTGACCGTATCTACGTAAGTAAAGTTGAATTAATTTCAATGTTAACAAAATATTTTCTTCCCTTACAAACCATGACATCGAACTACCAATCGGACTAATTTCTCATTTTCTGATTATCTATCTTACTGACTCTTAGTTTGACGTGTGATGACTTGCGTAGTAACCACCCAGTCAGATCAGTAAGGATCGATTGGTAAAAATTATCAGAATTCATTCCTAGATACAATATACTTTCTCCTTGTGAAATTCCAACTTCAATCTGCGCTAACACTGAACAGTGAATAAACACGATCGAGAGATAAGGGTTAAATCAAATAGAGACTGAAAGCCTCAATCATAATGCGAATTGAAAATTAGAGATCTGTCAGCAGAAAACTCCGCATAATACCCTGTCAAACCATTATTCCAGCCAATGGTGAACTTAGGAAACTCAAAGTACATGTGATGGAGACGAGTGTTAATACCCATAACTGAAAATGCAAACAGTCAGTGCAGACAAAGAATAATTTTGTTTGACTGAAAAAATAGACTCCCAATACAATGAAGAGATTAATAGTCTCATACATTATGAGAAATTCGATGTTCTCTAAGTACAGTAAATTAACTCATTCACCAGGTACTTGGTTAAGAGCCATACTCTAGATGGGAGCCAATGATGCTACTTAGTCGCCCAAACCAAAATAAGTGGAGCAGGCTTTGAACCTGGGACTTGGCGACTGAAAGTTCTCTATGTAATCACGTCACAGAAGAGGCTTTCTGTGGAAGTTAATCACATCATAAGTTGTAAGGCTATCAAAGGGGTCGGAGGTATAAATCATATAGGCCATTGGCGTATATGCATTATTCACCTAACTGTGGACACCGTCCACATATCTTTGGTTGGATCGGTAACATATACACAACAGCTTGGCGTTAAAACTACATAAATGTTTATGTATTTTTACCTTGGATAGCAGTCAGACTAAAACGTTTGAGGAGTGTTGTGGATAATGTAACTGAATCGACTACCACAGACTACATTAATTTTATTTGTAGGCGTCGTTTTTTCCTAAACCATAAGAAACAGTTCAATACCAGTTGTGGAGTCTCAATAAACTATACTAATGAATACATGTTTTGAAAAGTGAATATTCAGTCTAACACTGAAATCCTAGTATGACAATTTTTTGATTTCCCTTTAACACTAAGTCCCATCACTGTAAAACAAAACTCACCAGAGTAAAATGTATTGTATTTGCACCAAACTCTAGAAATGAACTATAAATTATACTGAAATTTGTCGAACGAATTTAAAACCGAAAACACTTTATGTCTCAGTTATCACTTACGCAGTATAACTCCGTGTTACTAACTGAACCAAAGAATGCACGCAGTATAAACTAAGTATTCATTACAAAGTCCTCCAATCATAGACATATAAGAGTAAAAATGTTACTTACCAGCTTAAATCAAAAATTGTACGTATGTGATAACCAGTTAATGTAGCGATACACACCCACGAAGTTGATTTACTGCAAGTTCCTAAAAGGTAAGTAATAATTACATTATTATCTGATAATGTTGCACATGTACAACCAACCAAAAACAATTCATCGAAACTGTACCCACAAAGCTAGCCACATAGGAGAAACACATGTATGAAGGTAGATAATGGGTTCATAAAATCGAAATATAAAAACACTGGATAGTATGTTTGAATAGTATAAACTGTAATAATAAAATAATTATACAATTTACTTATACTAACTTTGCAAGCTAATTTACATTACCGTTTGAAACCTCTAGAAATAGTTTTGTGACTAGAAATGAAAGTATTGACACAAAAAAAAGAGAAAATAAAGCTTACTCTTTTCACAACAAGCTTTCTAAAAGCTCGCTAATACACTTACAACAATAGACTGTTCATTATACTATGATAAATATTTTGAGAACTGTGAATTTTGAAAAATTCCCAACACAGGAATATACATTCAGAGTTGATGAAAATCATAACGATAGTGAAACGACAACTTATCTGAGCTAAATATTTTACATAGAATACCAATTTCCCACTAAAATGCAATGCTGGAAAATTTTTGTAAAAATTAAACAATCTTGGGAATATCAATTAAAGCATGATTTATGACATAAACAGAAAGAAAAAAACAAGTAAATTGTCAGCAGTAATAAGTCAAATTTGTTAGTATTACCATTGGTTACCAGATACACATATGAACTAACTGAATAAAAATGAAAGTAGATTTTACAAAAAACTAAACATTTGTAGTTGAGCAAGAACTTTATCTGTCAAGTAATTATTTGAACAACCAATCAAACGCAATGTAGAGCCTGGAACATATGTGTATCGGTTTAACGAGAAACAACACAACAGCACAGAGAGATGAAATTATCAATATAAATCATGGGGTATAAGAAGTAGTATTAGCATTAGAGATTAAAAAAACTAGTCAATAATCGAAAATCTACTTAACACGGTATATGACGTACAAGTATTTACGAAATAAGCGAAGTTTAGTTATAAATACTCTATTCATTTGAACAATGTTTAAGTCAGAACATGTACACAGTAGGTGAATTATTATTTGATTTTCTTCTAGGAATATTCAACATCTTGATAATATGATAAGTTAAATTTACTGGAGGCCTAATTAGAAGAGTAGAAAGATAAACAAACATTATCTTCATAGAGCGTGAGATTGATGTAAATTGGTCCAGGTTTCCATATTACATTAACACGAAGAGATAGAAATAACAAGACAAATAGCAAAAAAGCCCGAAGTAACGTAGTATCAATGATAATAAGACTAAACATTAGGAATGTGGTTCGGAAATACAGAGTGGAAAGGTGTGTCTGGTGGACTAGTGGAATTCAAGATTGAGGGAGAAACAAAGAGTGAATCCATATAGGCCATTGCGAACTATCTTCACTCATGTCACTCAGAGTCCCTAAGCACTGATCAAGGTTATCATGTGGACTTTAATAACGTAGTCGGCATCTACCAACATAACTGAAACCGACAGCCAATGACTTCTTGGATTGATTCCATATCTTGATTTGGTGGTTGCTAGTTTTCCTCCAAATTAATTGTGCGTCATTAAGCATCACATGTCCACGTAAGCGATTGTTGGGCACATGTAATACATTTTAGAACCACTTTGATCCATGAAGATGCACTACCTCATCGGTCTATTTGCCATTCCTACCTTGTTCCGTCTGTCTAGCATCAATGAGCCGATGGTATCAGTAACTTGTGAATATTCCCTACTTTTAAAGGTCATATTTCACAGTCATAAGGTGATGCGGATAGAACAGTTGTTCACTGAACTGGTTGTTTGTTTAGTGGACGAACATCTCACCTAAAATACAAGCGCCAACCAAAAGTTGAAAAACGTATAAACTTATCGCGTGAACAGTTGTCTACGATTAACTTGATTTTGCAAGTATATATATTAAGCTGTATCTAACTAGTATTGTATGAGCTAAGAAGTGAGTGAAAATGTACTTTTGTACATTTTGTTGTTAATAAGAAAACTACATTTATACCCAGTTAGTTAATAGTGCTTCTCAATGACATCTTAATTTAATTATTTGCTTTGTGGATGAGAGTTACACTGTTAATTATGGGTTTTAAGTGGTTTCTGGTTAATAATCTTCATGGTAATCTTTTTACTCAAAATAATTTATACGTATAGAGTACATAATTTTCAGTTTGTATTGTTGCAAAATCTGAAAGAGGACTATACACGTCATACAACTAACAGAATAGATTTTGATAACGCATATTATAACTCGTCTAACGTAAGATAAGTACTCATTAAATACAAATGCGAAAGTGCATTAGGGGTTAGAGTGAATTTCTTTCTTTTATTGCTGAAAATGCTAACGAAGGATTTGAAAAGGTGGTTTCTTGCTCTATTCAATTATCATAACCAAGAAGCCTGCTCAATAAATTTTACTAGTGTTATGCATTAACTTTTAACTTCCAATCTAATCATGATAATACGCAAATGTTACATAACATAACTCGTATAAAAGATGGTTTATCACAGCATCACAGTTGTCATTACTAATTTTCTAATGTTCAGTTTTGGGTAAAAAAAAAACCATTTAGACTTTTATGTTCAGTTATTTTTAATTACACGAGTGATGTGTGCTAATAATCACAAATATTTAGAGTTGTCTTTATGGATACTTTGGTATCTCTACATATGTGCATTTCTTTCCACACTTGTCATATTATTCTTGTACAAACTCATTCAATTAAATTCAGTTATAGATCATCTATCACGCCTACGGCAAGAGAAATAGAGTACTTATGCATTTTTCTTATTCCGAGTTTACTTCTTCTTATTCGTTCTTCTTTGACAGTTGAATGTTTTTACATCTAAGAGAAAGGACAACCTTGTAGACATTAAGAAAAATTCAGTTGTAATTGTGTTTTTTTGTCTCACAAAATTATATATTACAACTGGTTAAAAATGAGCGCAGTTGTCGTTGCACAGTCTTGTCTCTTAGTTCTTTTTCTTAAATTTATTATATGTAGAAACTGAAATAATTCCTTCATGTTTTCCCGTTTCTCCTTATAACATGTGGTTATATATATATAAGGAGAAAGAATTGGTTCATAAAAGGAAAGGTTTAAAATTTAATTTCACGGTTTAAGTGAAGACACTATTGAACCATTTCACAATAAAATAGATGAGTTTTAAGTTATTTGGAGATTCATATTTCAAATAAAAGCTATATTTCTAAAACTCACCTTCCCATCCCCAAAGTTTAATGCATCGATCATCACTACAGCTTGCCAAAATATCACCAGATGGAGAAAACTCTGCTTTCCACACAGTGGAGTCATGTCCAGCTAATGAGGTTGAAACAAAGAAATACAATAACATACTCGAAAATAAACGCGAAAATTACTGGTTAATTGATTTTTAATACATTTATGTTGAATAAACTAACAGAGATTACAACCATTGTTACTGTTTCATAATGCTAGTTAAGTATCTACTTCTAAGAACTAAGACTATTCGGGAAACTGTTTTAAGTAACATATACTCCAGATAGATAAATTAACAACAAAATCACCCACTAGTTTACCTTTTATGTAAAACAAATCGATGTTTAACGTCAATATTACTTGCATACTCGTTTCTTAATGAGAAAGCTATGATTCAACGTTAAAAGTAGACAAGTACTGATACAGAGGATAACCCTGTAAGGTTAGTGACCACATAAATATCACTTAGTAGGTGAAGCACTTAGTTTCCAGATATCCAGTTACAAGTTCGAGTTTCCAGGCAACACAGAAACCTGTACGTGCTTTTTGAGTCATATTAACTAATCGCTATTATGTACCCATCTTCGTACATGGATTGGTGAACTGTCTCGTTCGAGCAGCGACTTAGTCACAGATTTCTTGACCAATTACTACTTGACTTATCAATTAAAACAATCAATGTGCTAAGGACTATAACCCCTATTTGTATTGATGTAATAAGAACAATATTGACAAAAACGTATTAGTTAAAATTATGTTATATATATATATATATATATATATATATATATATTTATATAGTTTTCTTAAAAAAACACCCGATGCAATCGAGCAGTTGTACTTAAGAGACAACAGTCTAATGGTTCTGAAAAGAAACAAACTTCCCTGAGCTTTTACGGTGATAAAATCGTAAGGTGCTTCTACGAAAAATAGCTTGTAATACAGCAGATACATGGCATCAAGTCGATCTACTAATACTACAATAGTCAACAAAGAGAGGACTTTAACCACACTGCAAATTTGTTGAGGCTAGTACCATAAGTTGAATTCAAACCGATTTAAGTATCGAGGGGAGGCAGTTTAAGATCTCCTACTTTCTTAGTAATGTGTGAAAATCTCGAAGCCAATACTCCCCACTACCTAATAAATGTGTATTTTAGACTTCCTATTCCAACTATTATCAAACAGGACGAAACTGACAACTTCAACTAAATTTATATCCACTTACAACTTGTTTTCATTACGAACGTGAGGCGGTGTCTTAATGATTATGACACCCGACTTTCAACCATTAGACAGTAGGTTCAAACTCTGTCTTGCCTAACTAGTTTGGGCAGCCGATTATAGTCATTAGTTGCTAACCAATCAAATTAGAGAAGAAAAACCTTTATACCTAGTGTCACCATTTTGTAGTCTTAAGTTTTATTTCGAAAGAGTGAACGGAACGTATTCACATTCTACACGTAAATTAAATTCATTTACACGATGATTATATAATTATTTATATAGGTACTAGTCAGCTGACGAAAATTTAACAAAATATGACTTCACATTTCTGGAAATAATGGTATAATTGAATTTCTAGAGAAAACAAAATGTATATAACTCAAGAAGACCTACTGGACAGTCACTCACCATCTCATAAGAGCCATAACTTGCGAAAGCCACTGTAAAGCAATAAACCAATTTGACTTTTTCCTAAATTGTACGTTAGAGCTAACAAATTTCTGACTAGAGTTTTCTCACTCCTTTCAAAACAACTTTCATCTATTAACGCTGCCTAACAACTTACATTTAATTTTTTATGAGTAGTTCAATTGAGCTAAACGAACAGCTTCAATTAAATTAAGACCCTCCATTCAAAGCATATTTGCTTCAAAGGATAACAGTAAAAATATCATACTCCTAAATAAAAGGAAAAGGTGCACCGTATACTATATTTTCTAAGAAATTTCATTGAAACAAGTACCTTAATTAACATGAGGAAAGAGTTAATTCGATATCACTGAACTCTTGACGCTATGACATGATGTTATAAATTAATAAAATAAACTGATTCACAAAAACAAAAACAGCAAGTCTTTCAAATTTCAGATACAAGGTATTCGATTAAATGAAGCGTTAAATAAAACATCTAGATGGCAATTTGCATGATCCGAAATGATAAAGCATTAGCATCAGATGAGTCATCTACTATTTAGTGTAGAAATATAAACTACTCATTAGTAGTTAAATATGGATTTCTCTGAAGATTAAAGAAAATGATACCAGTTTTAGAAAAACTGATCACATGAATATTTATCACTTACTTAGTTGAATAAAAACAGCCCAATCATCAATTTCCTCTTTATACACATTTATCTTATTGTCATAACTTGTGGAAACTAGAACCTATACAAGACACAAATGACAGGAAAAAGAAGTCAAGTTAACTCGAACATGACAAAAATAAATAGACAAACCTGAATTTGATCAACTACTCAGTAGCCACCAATTTTACATCTGTCTAGTTTTCAGCGCTGATCAGATTCTATCGGCTAAGTCGCAATTTGGCCACTTTTAGAGGGAAATTGATTATGAATACAGTGGTCTCGAGTGCTGTTGGAGAGATGAGGGCGGTTATCACTTCTCGGCTACACACACTGTGTGAGTGCTTTCTTAGAAGTACCTGGATAGGAAATCGGGTTACAGTTGATCTTATTGACCTGGTATCGTGACCGCAGTGTCCAAGGGACAACTACTTGAAACCGGTCGTACATGACCTTTTTATGGGTAAATTTTGTGATAGAACCGTACTTGTTGATAACTTACCGCCGCAGACGGATATCTGTGAGATAAGGCGAGGTGTGTATTTTTAGGGTCGACCTTTTCTAACCCGCCTGTTCTTTTGCGGGAAGGTATCTTCGCTGTTATGCTGATTTTCTGAGGGAAACACCTTATTGCCGTCACACCCCTGTACAATCAGTAGTACAACTTCACCCTGGGACTTTGGGTTTGCTGCTTTCAGCCTTACTGTTCTTCAACCGACATGCCTGGCATGGTAGGACCTTGAGGAACGATTGTTCCGGTCAGTAAAGCCTAATTGGTTCATCGTGTTAGGCAAGTCCGACCAACCAGTCAAAGTAGCAGAAACGGTCGGGAATATGGCCATTAGTCCGAGTAATTCGGCATCGCGTACTGTGTTTTCGTGTCGGGTGGTTGGACTCAGCCAGGCAGAAAATCAACCTAGATTTCCTGCCGGTTAGCACATAACCATCGTTACGAAGTGTAACACTATAAAACGTACAAAAACAGTGATAACTTTGTGGAAATTAGTAGCAAAAATTAGTTTTGTCAGCTATCGGAGTCCCGAGGTATTTTTACGATGACGGAACGTCTTAACAAGAAAAGACAACGTATTGTTTGAAAATGAGTACCAAACTTAGCTTTTTGATCACTTAAGAAAAAAGCCATTGTTTTTCCCATATTCCTAAAAATCTTAACTAATTTAAGTGCCAACTCCTAGGCGTTGATCTGTCAACTTATCGTACCTGGCTTGAATGTGTCTGACAGTTACCAGATTTAAGATTTCAAACTATAAAAAACCGTTAAATTTGTAGTGCCTATTATTAATCATCTGTTATGCCCCGATAAGGATAATGAATGGTAACTTTGGGATCTATTTATGAATCAATACTGTGCATATATTTTTTATCGTATAATTGCTAAATAACTAAACTATTCATATTCATGTTACCCTTATAATAAGCTTTATTTTGACCTATAGACTAATATTATACAATTTAACATTCTTGAGTTATCCTTAGTCTACTAATTACTGCCTCCCACATTCACAGCCGTACTTGGGTAAATCTTGTACACATGTTATTTTCTATTTTATGGTACGATTTGGTCAGTTTGATTGGTATATAAACTCAGTATCTTTGAAATATAATGAGGCTGTTCTGGACTTAAGTGGCTGGGCTAGGCAGAAGCAGGACCGATAGTACTCTAAACTGCTTGTACGGTTTTCGTGTGTCACTGTTCCAATCGATAATTCGCTGCTCTCTGATTGGCGGTCTTATCACGTCATACGTTAACAAGATATCCACTAGGCAAACAAGTTATAACATCATCTCAATGCAACTCTCATATATGAATGATACAAAAATAGCAAGTAACTTCAATGATCTGTGAATTTTATATTATGACAATCTGCACCAACATTGTATCTTAATTTGAACTATAGATAAAATATTTTTGTACTTAGCCACTACCAGTTGTAAAGTCTAGTAAGATATGTAGAAGGCTTGAATTCAGGTTCTTAAACTGGTATCAAAAATTACGACTGATATCTATAAGTAGGTGTAACGGTGCTCACTCTTTTGACTTGTAGTGGACTGTCTTCAAATAATTACCAAGACTTCATACATCAGTCGTCCTGATAAGTTACTAAATGAATCCCCACGATCTATAGGTTCCAAAAGAAAATACGAACCATCAACTACAGCTTATTATTGAACAGCAAAGATCACCAGGCCATAAACACACAAAGAGAGTTAGAGAAGATATGCTAAAGCGAATACAGAGGCAAATTGAGAATCGGATGAATTAATAAGATTCAAGCATATTATATATATATATATATATATATATATATATATATATATATATATATATATATATGCTATAGATTGACTGTAAAGATGTGATCAATAAATCCACAATCTGAGAGAGAATCAACCTGCACCCAACCATTTGTGTGTGTACCTGAAGAGATTGAACTGTCAAGTTAACTGACTACATGAAAACAAAAGATATCTATGACCGTCTTAATTGCCTAATCCTGAATAAATACTACCTAACTACATAAAAATATGAAATTAACATTAAAAATACTTACCAAGCGTACTCACCTCACCGTGTGGATGCCAGGCTACTGATTTCACATCCTGTGAATGGGGCTGGAGAACGCTTACACACTGAACATCCTCCTCGTCATCAAATTCCCACAGCCAGACACTTTTATCTCGACCGCAAGTGGCTATCAGATGACCGGATGGGCACCAAGCAACACACTTGACTTCGCTAGTATGTCCTAATATCCATGAAAGAAAAACAATGCAAATAGTTTGCATGAGTGTGAAATTGAATATTTTATCTATATTATTTTATTTGAACATATAAATACTGGTACAAGGTGGCATCAGATACATATGCGCCACACAATAACAATGAGAATGGGAAGAGATAAAGAGTGTAAGTCAGTCAGTCAGTCACAACGTAGAACTTCGTACGTACGTACATCAGTTCGAGTTGCCATACCACATTAGCACAGAGATGCAGTTGTCGATTCAAATCCCATAGTGGTGGAAGTAGTAGGAGTATAATCAGAAATCCAAAAGATTAGGGTTTGAAGAAATTATTGAAGGAGTATAGTACAGTGAAATAAATTTGGAAAGAGAAAAACATAAAGACATGAGGAATTCAGAAGATTAGAATTTGGTGGAACACAAAGAGTGGATGCATCTTCGCCATTGCAAACGATTTTGAGCCATGTCATTCAAGGTCTCTAACCATCGGTTGCTGTCATCTCGCGAATCCCAACCAGGTAGTCTACACCTACCAACGTGGCCCAGTCCACTTGTCAGTGACTTCATGGATTTGTGCCACGTTTTGGTCTGGCCGCCCATAGCTTTCTTCCAACCTACTCCTACACCATGAAACATTGCACGTCGGGGCAGTCGGTGGTCGGGCATACGTAACACATGTCCCAGCCATCTCAACTGATGAAGTTTCACTACTTCACCAATCGATTTGCCATCCCTACCTAGTACTCGTTTCCTAACAACTGCATTACTTACCCGGTGGTCCCAGGATATACGAGCAATGCTTCGAAGACACCTATGATCAAACACTAGTAGACTACGAATATCCTCTACTCTTATTGGCCATGTTTCACTGCCATAAAGTAGGACGGAGCGAACTGCTGCACAGTAAACACGTCCTTTGGTTGCTAGACGGATATCTCGCCTACGCCACAAATGATGCAAGTTGGCAAAAGCTAGACGAGCCTTCTGTATCCGTGCTGAGATTTCGTCAAACACCAGACCACAAGGGCTGATGAGACTCCCAAGATAAGTGAAGTGGTCTACACGCTCAACTACTTCACTCCCTATCATTAGTTCAGGTGTCCATGCAACCCAATCCTGAAGTAACATTTTGCACTTCGAGGGAGAGAATCGCATTCCGAACATGCCTGCATAGTTGCTTATAGTGGTCAGAAGACTCTGCATGTTGTCAGCGTCTTCACCGAGTAAAACTATGTCGTCGGCGTATTCTAAGTCAACAAGTGAGCCTCCTGGTAAAAGTTCAACTCCTGGAGGTTTAGCTGATGAAAGTGCTATCTCTAAAAGTATGTCAACGACAAAGTTAAACAAGAATGGGGAGAGTGGACAGCCCTGACGAACGCCACTTGTGGTCATCAGTTCTGATGACAGTTCTCCATAGGCTGTAACTCGACCAGTTGTGTTCGAGTAGAGAGCCTTTATGAGGTTAATGTACTTCTTTGGTACTCCTTTCAGTGACAAACATTGCCATAGAACCTCACGATCAACGGAGTCAAATGCCGCCTTAAGGTCAAGAAATACTACTATTGTGGGACGTCTGAATTTGTGTCTATGTTCTAGAACCTGACGTAGGGTGAATATCTGGTCTATGCAACCACGTCCAGGTCGAAAACCAGCCTGGTTTTCTCTAGTCTGCTCTTCACGAGCTTTGGTTAGGCGACCTAGTATTATTGAAGCTAATATTTTAGACACTATATTAGTCAAACTGATCCCTCTGTGATTGTCACAAGAGGACTTTTGTCCTTTCTTATAGACTGGCACAATCAGTGATTGGGACCAGTCAGATGGAATTACGTCCAGTTCCCAGATTCTACCTAAGACCTCAGTCAATCTCACTGCTAGTACTGGACCACCATCCTTAAAAATCTCAGGGGTCAACCTGTCAGGGCCTGCGGCTCTCCCTCGCTTCAGATTTCCTATAGCTTTTTCAACCTCACAGAGGGTTGGAGGACTTACATCAATTTGCCATTCAGGACGACTGGGGATCGTGGGTAGCTGAAGTGTGGCTGAAGGCCAGTTGAACTGATCCCTAAAGTGTTCTGCCCATCGATCCAATCTCCTGGATTGAGAATGAATAATATGCCCATCTTTATCTGAGATGGTTTCACTGATATTCGGGTTCCTAATACCGGTTTCTTTAACGAGTCTGAATAGCTGCCTACTGTTACCTATTGCCGCTGCCTTTTCCATCTCCCTTGCTTTCGCTACCCACCACTGTTCACGATCATTACGTAGGCTTCTTATAAGCCTTCGCTTAAGTTGACTCCGCTCTTCGTTATGCTCAGAGCCAGGTGGGATGAGTTTACGAGCATCTATCAGTGCGGTAGATGCTGCCGAGATCCATTGTTTCTCCCTAACGTTATGGTTTACCTTACTAGCAGATATCACTGCTGTTTCCACAGCTTTTCGGATGTCATTCCACGCTGCCTCGGGGTGGACACAACTTACATGGCTGCCTAACTGTTTTCCTAGTTGTTCCTGAAATATATTCTTAGCTTGCCTATCATTAAGTAGAACCCTTAGAGGCTTCCCTGCAGTGTCTTTCCTACGTCCAGTAAGACGCAGACAGATACGTGCTCGCACTAGAGCATGATCTGAATCTAAGCATGTGCCCCAGAATGAGCGACAGTCTTCTATCGAGCCCCTCCATCGGTGGCTGATAGCGATGTGATCTAATTGGGTCCAACGTTGGGACGAATTCGGGGGTCGCCATGTCAAAAGATGTTTTTCCTTATGCTTAAAGTTAGTATTTGCAAGAAATAGGCGGTTATCTGAGCATAGCTGCAACAGACGGTCGCCATTATCTGTTCTTTTCGCCATGACACCATAAGATCCACCCAGGTGTCCTTCCCTTTCACTTAGTTTACTTACTTGAGCATTAAAGTCACCTGCTACTATTACTACATCAGAACGCCTAGCTTCTCGGAGAAGGTCAGAAAGTTTCCTGTAGAACTCATCTTTTATATCGTCTGAGCTGCGGTCAGTGGGAGAGTAGGCAGAGACAACAAAGAGACAACGACGAGTTTCCCTATCTTTCCGGGTCCTTACTGATCCGTTTAGTCGGACAGCGCATAGACGACAGTCTACTGGGATCCAGTCTAAAAGAGCTAGTTCTGCCCTACGACTTAATGCTATACCTACTCCAGCGAGGCCACGGGAAGCAGCATCAGGGCTTCCAGATACACGAAGCGTGTATCGAGATGAAACTTTATTTTGATTAGGTGCGGTCAAATGAATGACACTACTCGGATCTTGTATGCGCGTTTCGGAGACGCAGCACACATCGATGGTGTAAGATTCTAGAGTCCTAGCTAAGGAAGCCTGTTGTCCTATTTGGCACAATGTTCGGACATTAAAAGTTCCTATATGTAGTTTAGAGCGTGGTTTCAGGAGACCAGGAATAACGTTCTGTGTACTCGAATCGTTTGCCCTAGCGGTGCGAGGTGATAAAAGGACGTGGGAAGGGTTAGTCGTGGAGATAACAGAGTTATTAAGTGTAGGAAGGATTTGAAAGCGACCAACTTGGTCTTGTGTGCAGTTAAGGGTATGAGGGCTAGTATCACTTCCCGGCTGCCCACACCGTGGAAGGGTATTTCTTGAGGGACCTGAAAAAGAAGTTGGATTAGTATTGGTCTTAACGACCTGGGAGCGTGACCGCAGAGCCCAAGGGACATCTGCTTGAGGCCGGTCACGCACGGCCTTTTTGTGGGGGATTTTTGATGTGTTAGCTCCGTTCTTCAAAAGTCCTTACCGCCGGAGACGGAAATCCGTGGGATAAGGCGAGGTGTGCATTTTTAGGGTCGACCTTTTCTAACCCCACCCCTCCTTGTGGGAAGGCAGCATCGCTGTCATGCTGGTTGTCTGAAGGAAACACCTTACTGCTTTCACACCTCTGTACAGTCAGCAGTATGACTTCGCCTTAGGACCTTGGGATTGCTGCTTTTAGTCTCACCGCTCTGTCTGGCATGGTAGGACCTTGAGGAACGATTGTTCCAGCCAGCATAGCTCGATTGGATCATCACGATAGGCAAGCCCGACCACCACGTCAAGGTAGCAGCAACGGTCGGGGATAAAGAGTGTAAAGTGAGTATAAAAGAAAAAACAATAACGACCACAAATCAGTGTACGGTTTTATTTGTTTAAACATAAATATTGGTACAAAGGGGTACCAGATACATATACGCTACACAAATCCCGTTTAATTTGTATGAAGGCTGTGATACTGCCCGGGTGCCCAAACTGAAGCAGGTAGTTTTCTTAGAGGGCCACACCCGGAGCCTTTAAACTAAAGGTCTGATCCAAAAGGTAGTAGAGCATTGTAAGGAGACGCAGTCACATGGTAGCCGGTGACCAACGATTGATTCATGTGTCACTTCTTCCCTCAAGATACTGGAGCCCATGTGCACCATTGGTTGGGAATCAGGGTTTCCCAAATCCCCTAGGTGGACCCTCCGTGTCCGCCAACCCGGTTAAGGTGCCGGACATTCACTTTTTGTCCTCTTAATTTCGTAAACAACACCACGGTCACGAGAATGCAGTGAGTAGGACTTCCCTGGCAGAGGCTATATATACGTGACCATGTGAGAGCCTTTCGAAAGGGAGAGCGTACTCTTCCCAATCTCGGTTGTACCAGGACATTTGAGGGCAACGGAATGTCGTTGCCAAAAACAATTATGATCAAATTCTAGTACCTTACGTACATCTACCTGTCAAAGTATCGAGCTTTAGTTTTAAAAGACATGAATGATGTAGAGATTGAGCTTAGTATACAGAAAAGGATGGATGGAGCAGCACAGAAATTCGCATAAGCAACGTATCTTGTTAACTTAATTCAAGGCTAATGCTTCTCTTCACATGACTAAAATTAATTATCAATATGACATTTTAGTCTCATCACTAACAAGCTCATTTTGCATCTTACAACATTCAACAATACAGTAGTCAAGACAAATTCGCAAACTGTTTAAAACATGCTAACAACCGACCAAGATGCATATGAGAATCTATACGCGCATATAAAATTAGTCTACAGACTAAATGAAATTTAATGTTCATTAACTGAAATCGATTACTGTATACATTAGAATAAGGTCCACGAAAGCTATCAAATTACAAACATGTTCGTTTGCCATTATATAGAACGGAATGATTCAAACAAGGTGCATTGACCAGATTCTTACGATGAAGAAAAATAGCATTTAAATACTACTACGTGTTAAGAAATTACTCCATTTTACCTACAATTAAGGCTATACTACCTACTTAAACTATTAAAAAGCAAAAAATCACCAAGGCTCATCTGAAGTTCAGAAACAACTATATATGTCACAAAAACAAATGACCGAATAACTCTCAAAGAACCAAACTATACATCAGGACCAAGTAACAAACAGGCGTGGCTAATTTCATCTAAATTGTTATATACGACACGACGAAATGGTTTTAATTGAGTGTATTGAACTAAAACATACCTTCTAAGGTCACAAGCGCCTCCATTTCGTGTCCTGAAGCCTCTTTGAAAATTTTCCAAATAACTACTGTTCCATCAAAACTCGCTGAGGCTATGTAGTTACCACATGGCGACCATGTTATGCATCTAATGGATCTTTTGTGTGCCTCTGGGAGAGAGAAACTGTTAACCCATGATTCATCGTCACACTTAGCCCACGATTTGATTATTCTGTCTTCCCCACTAGAAACCAAGACAGATCCTTTGTGGTTCCAACTTAAAGTCCACAATCGCCTGTTGCTGCCTCTAAGTTTCTGCACTTCACGAACACAAATCATCCATGCGAGTGAAGGTCAACAAATGAACGACGCAGAAGACTTGTAAGGCCGTTCAATAATCAGTAGTACTACGACCCAGGTAGTGTTCTCTAGGTACTACCTTAAAAACGAAATTGAAAGAAAATTACGTTATGAATATCTTTTGGTAATCTATAATGAGTGTGTCCTCTTGTATCAGACATGCTTTTGAATATCCATTCTTTTCATTTGTTTAATTATGACCTCTACCACGGTCCAGATACAACATCAGACACAGTTGGTATCCTGTTACGCTTCCACATGAAACCGATCGCCGTTTCCGCAGATTCAAAAGAAGTTTACATGAGATTAAAAGTGTCGAAGCTCGATTGTAGAGCACTACATTTCCTTCGGTAGCCAAGGATGATCATGTGAACGAACCTGTGGAATATCATATGACATCACCACACACAAGGCCACACGTACTAGTTACCATACGCAGGAATTCTCGGGCTGTTGGGGGAATCAGTGTATCTAGTCAGACGAAAAGTAGATGCGTGAGATGTGTACGCACAAAAACCACATTGGGCCAATAAATGATGATACCTGTTTCTGAACGTTAAGTCCAGCAAGGTCGATTCTATTTCTCCTCTGTGGGAATAGACTATTCTGGACCGTTGATGGTTCGTCGGGAAAGAAGCAAGGAAAAGTGATATGGATACATATTTACGAGTCTTCAAACGCGTACCGTACACCTGGAAGTATCTTTCAATCTGAGCACTGACTCGTTCATAAAGGCTTTAATACGTTCCATAGAAAGGCGACGGACTCCAAAAGAAATCTACAGTGACAACGAAACTAACTTTGTCGGGCGACTTCTGAATCGCGAAATGATATAAGTGTATGGGACAAGCATAGAATAAACGACTTCACAACATCAAATGGGATACAATGGCATTTCAACCCCCACTAGCTAGCCATTGAGGTGGGGTTTGGAAGAGGTTGATACGCTGTGGAAGAATTTGAAGTAACCGTACCATCGTTTCTGTGACATCAGATGAAAGTATGACTTAATGCTCACACCAAACACCTTGCTACTACTAAGAGATTGTGACGGTTTAGTAATGGAGTGCAGTATCGCGGTATTCAAATCTACGGAAGCAGATAAATTGTCTATCAAATACCTTCTGGCGTCGGTAGATAAAGGAGTACATTCTGTTACTGCGAGGCAAAAGTGGTTTTGCAAACACAGAAACTTAAAGGAAGGTGATGTGGTGCTTGTGGCTAACGACACAACTAATCATGGCTCATGGCCAATGGGACGGGTTGATAAGTGCGATATAGATGGAGATGGCCTAGTAAGGACAGTGATGGTAGGTCTGAAAGAAGGGGTAGTAAGAAAAGGTGTGCGAGAGCTTTGCCTTCTAAAGGAGGCCGAAAAACTGTAGATTGTATGTTAGGTTTATGGGTGAACAGGCGTACTGTTGTACGTTCTGTGCTTCTCAGTGATAATAAGTAGTTAACTAGCAGAGCTATGATTGAATGTATTCAGAGGTGTCATTACGTAGCTAGATTTTGGTGTCCGATGTAACGGAAAGAACATGCTGAAAATCCCTACACAGGATTTTATTGGACGGTATCGTCTTTCAACTGCACTTTGTGTTCTTGAGTCTTCGTAGTCTGAGATTTTGTTTGTGGCCTTGGTTAAAGACTTGCTTTTTGTTACTTGATTTTTCTGTTGCATGTTTCCTGACTACTGACAATGAGGCCGTGTTTGACCAGGCTCAGGGCCAATGTATGGTTCGGTGCATGACTGTTAACCCTTGACTGTCTGCTTAAAAATGATACCGAAATTGTTGTAGATAGATATCTGATTCAATCTTGTTGGTAATATTTTCATTGATTCTCAAGTATCGAAAGTAGTCTGGTTTATTCGAATAAATTTCGATTCGTTAGTTTTGAGTTCAAGCCAAATATTGATATTTTGTTCGTTATGCCAAAGTTTGATAATATATAGTGGTGTGGAAAAAGCAAAACTTGTTCTTGAAGACGTTTGCTTACTTACTTACTTACTTACTTACGCCTGTTACCCCTCGTCGAGGAGCATAGGCCGCTCACCAGCATTCTCCATTCAACTCTGTCCTGAGCCTTCCTTTCCAGTTCTTTCCAGTTGCTATTCATCCTTTTCATATCGGCTTCTATTTCCCGGCGTAGTGTGTTTTTTGGCCTTCCTCTTTTCCGCTTCCCTTCCGGATTCCAAGTTAGGGATTGAGTCGTGATGCACATTGGTGATTTCCTTAATGTATGTCCGATCCACTTCCAACGTCTTTTCCTTATTTCCTCTTCAGCTGGAAGCTGGTTTGTCCTCTCCCATAAAACGCTGTTGCTGATAGTATCCGGCCAATGGATGTTGAGTATTTTGCGTAGACAACTGTTTATAAATACTTGTACCTTCCTGATGATGGCCGTAGTAGTTCTCCACGTTTCAGCTCCATACAGTAGGACTGTCTTGACGTTCGTATTAAAGATTCTGACCTTGAAATTAGTTGAGAGTTGTTTTGAGTTCCATATGTTCTGCAATTGTAGAAATGCTGCCCTTGCTTTGCCAATCCTCGCCTTTACATCTGCATCCGATCCTCCTTGTTTATCAACGATGCTCCCCAGGTACTTGAATGTTTCCACCTCTTCCAGAGTTTCGCCATCAAGTGTGATTGGGTTGGTGTTCTCCGTGTTGCATTTGAGAATCTTGCTTTTTCCTTTGTGAATGTGGAGGCCTATCGATGCGGAGGCTGCTGCTACATTTGCTGTCTTCATCTGCATTTGGTCGTGTGTATGAGAGAGGAGGGCTAGGTCATCTGCGAAGTCCAAATCATCTAATTGATTCTGAGAAGTCCATTGTATTCCGTATTTCCCTTCGGATGTCGAATTCGTCATAATCCAGTCAATCACTAGAAGGAAGAGAAATGGGGAGAGTAGACAGCCTTGTCTGACTCCGGTCCTTACTGGAAATGCATCTGTCAGCTGTCCTCCATGCACCACTTTGCACTGTAATCCATCGTATGAGTTTTGGATAATGTTGACGATCTTCTGAGGAACTCCATAGTGTCGAAGAAGTTTCCACAATGTTCTCCTATCCACGCTGTCAAACGCCTTCTCATAGTCGATGAAGTTGACGTATAGTGATGAGTTCCACTCAACTGATTGTTCAACGATGATCCGTAGTGTCGCAATCTGGTCTGTGCACGACCGATCCTTACGGAATCCAGCCTGATGATCCCTAAGTTCGGCGTCTACTGCGTCTTTCATCCGATTCAGCAGCACTCTGTTGAAAACTTTTCCTGGTACTGATAACAAACTGATGCCTCTGTAGTTCTCACATTGGCTCAGATCTCCTTTCTTTGATATCTTGATGAGATATCCTTCTTTCCAGTCCGTTGGCACTTGTTCCTCTTCCCAAATCTTTTTGAATAGAAGGTGAAGCATGTTTGCAGTTATTTCAATGTCTGACTTCAGTGCTTTAGCTGATATATATTGTCAGGTCCTGCCGCCTTCCCACTTTCGATTTGTCTGATGGCCATCTTGACTTCTTCGATCGTTGGTGGAGTGACATCTATTGGAAGGTCAGTGTGTGCTGCTTCGATGTTCGGTGGATTCGATGGGGCTGGTCTATTCAGCAGTTCCTCAAAGTATTCTGCCCATCTTTTCCTCTGTTCCTGAATCTCAGTGATTGTCTTTCCTTCTTTGTCCTTGACTGGTCTCTCTGGTTTGCTATATCTCCCTGCCAATTTCTTCGTTGTATCATATAGTTGTTTCATATTCCCTTCTCTTGCAGCTTTTTCCGCCGCCGTTGCTAGTTCTCCCATGTATTTCTGCTTGTCGGCTTTAATGCTTTTCTTCACTTCTCTGTTTGCTTCTGCGTAGTCTGCTTGTGCTTTGACTTTCTCTGCTCGTGTTCGGCTGTTGTTAATTGCTAGTTTCTTGTTCTTCCTTTCTTGAAGTTTGTCCAGGGTCCCCATAGAGATCCATTCCTTGTGATGGTGCTTCTTAGGACCAAGAACCTCCTGACACGTTGAAGTTAGTGCTTCTTTTATCCCTTTCCAGTTGTCCTCCAAAGTAGTTTCTTGTTCTTTCAGTAGATCCTGTAGAGCTTGGAACCTGTTGTTGAGAGTTATCTTCAATTCATGGAGTTTGTCAGTATCTCGAAGGAAGGCTGTATTAAACCTTTGTAGTGCTGTTTGTCCAGTTGTCCAGTCTTTCTTTAGCTTCAGTCTCATCTTGGCCACAACCAGGTGGTGATCTGAAGCTATGTCAGCTCCTCTCCGGGTTCTCACATCTTCCATTGATCTTCGGAATTTTTTGTTGATACAGATGTGATCAATCTGGTTCTCTGTGGTGTGGTCCGGTGAGATCCATGTAGCTGTGTGTATGCGTTTGTGTGGGAATATTGTGCCACCTATAACCAATTTGTTGAATGCACATAGGTTTGCAAGTCTCTCCCCATTTTCATTTCTCTCTCCTAGTCCATGTCGTCCAATTACATCTTCATATCCTGTGTTGTCCACTCCAACTTTAGCATTTAGATCTCCCATAAGGATGGTGAGGTCCTTTCGTGAGCACTTTGTTATAATTGATTGCAGCCTTTCATAGAACTGATCTTTATCATCGTCGTTGCTATCATTGGTGGGTGCATAACATTGGATAACATTCATTGTGATCCCTTGCTTCTTTGTTCTGAATGATGCTTTGATTATCCTGGGTCCATGAGATTCCCATCCCACAAGTGCATTTCGTGCTTCTCTGGACAGCATTAGAGCAACTCCCTGAGTGTGTGGCGCATTTTCCCCTTCGTGACCGGAGTACAGCAGCATCTCTCCTGTACCTAGCCTTTGTTGTCCACTTTGTGTCCAATGGGTTTCGCTGATTCCGAGTACTGCCAAGTTGTATCTCCTCATTTCCATTGCTATTTGGCTGGTCTTTCCTGTTTCCCACATTGTCCGGACGTTCCATGTACCTATAAAGAGTGTTGCTCTGGTTGTTAGAAGGTGCATCGGTCTCGTGACTTCCGAAGAATTTCGGCTTTCATCATGAGACGTCATTATTCCTTCAACTCCCAGAGCAGAGTTTAAATGGTTTGAATTATTTTTTCTGGTTAGCGTTTTTTTAGCGAGTTAGCTTTTCTACGGGATGGGGTCGCTAACCCCATGCCCAACCCTCCTCCTTTACCCGGGCTTGGGACCGGCAGTAACTCTAGAAGAGCTACAGGCGGAGTTGTTTGCTTACTGGCATCACATAATTTGTCACATGATGTTTACTCATTCCGCCATAAAAATACTGTAAGCCAAATAGAGAAAACAATCAATTACGCTAAGACTAAATCGTTTGTTTTTTTCCATTTTCGACTGCAAATATAAACCTTAAGGGATTATAATCAGGAAATAGCTCACTTCAATCGCTAACACTGTATACCAGTGTGACCTCACATCAGGCAGTATTGTCTGATGGATATATATCTTCATAGATTGAATCACTGATCGATCTTAGTTATATTGTCACTGAAAACCTTGAAGCACTGAACTGCCGCTTCATGGTTGAATGAGACTCCCTTATCAAAACTTCAAGTAACTGACTATGGACATTAACTTAATACACAGTTAATGATTGTTCTTTCTTTCCAGGTACTTTCCAGTTTACCTAACTGCATCTCGATGGATTGAAGAAAACTAGCTTGTACCTCCTGTCAGTGACCAAAAAGGAGTAACACATTTCAAAGAAATATGAAATAGTAGATTTGTATTTTGTTGCAGGTGTTTTCATTAAAACCTTTAGACTCTCAAACGTCTTAAACACTCCTTTTACATACATCTTACGCAGTGCAGCTTAACATGTAAATGATAAATATTTTACATCTGTAGTCACTAAAAATATTCAACGAACATTATTAAAATGCTTGATTTAAAACAAATATGCAAGTTGGAGAAACCAATAATCACAACACCCACAATATATAACAACAAACAATCGTTAAACACTTAAGATACCATTGTTCATTTAACTTCAATCTTAGTCAAAAAATTCAAACCTGTTTAGTCACTATGAATTTATGGATGTTGAATTATTGAGTGCTGATTAGACCGGACTTTTCAGTCACGTCGGAAACCCCGGTTTTCATCTCAACTTGAGAAATAATGTTCTCAAAAATTTTCATCCATCTTTAATCTCTAATTATCCCGCTGTTGTAAGTTCAGTATAAGAACTCGAGTTGTAAGGTAAAACATTTCAAACGTACTGTTATAATAAGGAAAATAAAAAACGATGGCACAAGTTTGTTCTGTTGTGATGTTCCCATTTAGTTTAAAAGAAAATAGAACTTAACACGAATATTAGCTAGTGATGATACTAACTCATGCACTTCGTTTTGAAATAAACATATCTTCTGAAATTTTAAAAATGTAGAACGTAAAAATAAAATTGGCTATTGAAACAGGGCCTATAAATACTACGACGAAAGAAAAAGAATGAATGGAAACAAAAGACCGAATTAATAAAATACAGAATTCACCAAACCAAGGAGATAAGACAATCCTGAAAACTCTAAAAATTGACTAAAAGAAGCAAACTACTTATTAATAGTAAGCAGTGTAACGCAAAATACAGGGATGCACAAGAAGAGACGAAAGTTGAAGATAAACAGAACAGTATTTATTTACGATTTTTCTCTCATAGGATTTTATGACGTACAATTAGAAAATCAACATGAATAATCACTGAAGTAACAAATATTTTTGATATTTTCTCAAAACGTATGCACGTAATATTACTGAACTATGAGGAGAATTTTCTCATCGAGAAACTGGAAATGAAAATTGAATAAAGAAATACAACTTTTTTCAATTTGCTAACTTTCGTCGCTCAATGTCGTTCTAATTTACTAACTAATGAACATTAGACTAAAATTCACTTAGTATCACTTGTTTGAATCTTCGCGTTGATGTTTAGGATTTCAACTGGTCAGTCTCTTATTGGCATATGTGCATACTGTGCGTTTTGCCTCCATATTGTAGTCATAAACATCAACGGGAAAATTCAAACAAACAATACCAAGTGAATTTAAACTGCAACCCATTGCACTAGCAAGTGGCTATCACGACTTAGTAGCTGAGTGGATAACGCGATGGCATTTAAAACGAAAGGTACTGGGTTCGAGCCCCAGAGTGAACATCAACTCTGAGATGCAGGTACATCCAACAATGAGGAGTCCCAAATAGGACGAAACGTACGTCCTGGATTCCACTGCTAGCCACTATCCATCTTTGCTTATAAAACTAAAATCATTCGATTTGTGGTTATTCAATCAAGGAAAAAGTACGTTCACTGAGTTATTTATGAAAATAATATGGAATTAACAAGTTTGTAATTTAACAATATTGACATATAGTATAGTTAAAGACATATAACTATATAAATGCCATCAATTAAAATGAGAGGTAGTAGATCAATTGAAGTTAAATAATTTTGCCTTTAATTAGAATGTGTATTGTTTCAGCTTTAGTTTCTATATTGTTTTTCATTTAAATTTATAGAATTTCAATCATTTTCACTGTAACAGTTAAGTTCATTCTATGTTCCAGTTAATTTTGTTGAATCTTTTTCTAACTTTTCATTTACTTCTAATTTGTTTTAAAGACTAAGCTGATCTTATACCCTTCTTCATACCTACAAAAAAGAAGTATCAGTTGACCAGATAAAACCTGAATAAATACTGAATATTTTTATCCCAACTATATGAGGTTTTTTTTTAATATTTCACAATAAGAAAAACACTAGTAGTGTAGTGAACAAAAACACGAGTGAGGACAATCGAATGTATTTTAACTCAACTTTACAGATTATCTCATTCAAATATGACATCCATATAATGAACAGTTAATTTGCAAAATAACAATCAATTGTCTCACACTGACTGTTCCTTCTACAAATGTCCGTCCATAGTCTCCGATTTATAATTGTTCAGGTATTTTCGTACCAATTGCATGCCGTTCCCGTTCTCTCCTTATCGATCTTCTACTGAAATACATTCAATGCCCAACCATCATCATATACTACTTATGTGGATATCAATAACGAACACCACAGTAGGATAATATACAAAGATAAGTAGTGTTTGTAAATTAGTTATAAATCGTTTTTATTGTAATACAGCATTAAATTTAATTTAATATCAGTCACGTTTTTTTTATGACAACACCTTGTGTCCTAAAAATATTTCACTTATTTAGTTACTAGTCCCCTTTCAAATTGATTAACCAATACAATAATTGTACTGATATATTTAAAACAAATTTAATTGATTTATTTGTATCTATGTATACCGATAAATATATATATGTTAAATGTATTAAATCACAATTAAGATCCTTTATTTATCACCTATAAAATCAATTGATTTGTGTTTATTCAACGTTCAATAAATGACTGTTTAACAATTAGTAGGTACAATGATGAAAAATCTGTTGAAGATTTATAATATGTCAATTATTTTAAATTATAATAAACTGTTGTATTCAGTGAATTCTAGGAATGAGATATACATTGACGGTGATATTGATGTATATAATAATAGACATCGGTGGAATCCCTGTTGACACTTCAGAAGAATATTCAAGTGAGTAGTTTTACACATTCATACATACATTCATATATATATATATATATTGAGGAAATTATAAAAATTGGTTTTAATGATTATAATTTACTCTGACAAATTTTATAAGCATCAGTTTCTGAGAATATAAGACATCGAATATCTTTTGATAAACGAAAATTGAATAGACCACAAATAGAATCTTAGGTGTTCATTTAGATGTAAACTAATCGATGTTCAAATCTGTCATTACAGAACAAAACAATAATAAGCGAATTTAAAACTTCTCCCCATTGCACAACCAAGTAACTATCAGAACTCACTGGCCGAGTGGATAACGCGATGGCGTTTGAAGAGAAAGGTACTGGGTTCGAGTCCAAGAGTGAACATCAACTCTGAGATGCAGGTATACCCAGCTGACGAGTCTGAAATAGGACGAAACGCGCGTTCTGGATTCCACTGCTAGCCACTATCCATCTTTGCTTACAAAACAACTTATGTTTAATAGATGGATGAACATTATATCGTGGATGCACTCTACTAAAGAGTCCCACAATAGGACGAAACGGCTGTCCAGTTTTTCCATGGTAGTCTAGCTTCAGTAGACCCATGATCTCAATTATTAAAAATATTATTTTTTTGTAAAGTTTTCAGATATGGTTTTTCGGTAAATGGTGATTAGTTTAACACTTTTGTCACTGTAGATAAACAATATTAAAATATGACAACACAAAGGAGGCTCAATGATTGAGTTATTCTCAACTAATGATACAGCATCTTGTAGTTTGTAGTTAAAGCCAACATTAGATACTATAAAAAGAAATATTATATAGTATATTTAACACAATACTTCCATAACTGTTAATTAATATTTTGATTTTAACCTGAAACCCAATAAAATACAAGAATAGCAAAATTTCCTATTGCAACAGGACTTTTTGTATGTTTGTTTTCGTAAAAAATAGTTTTCATACTTTGTTAAATAAATTGATATGTTCACCGTATACTGTGTAATGGAATTATTGCTTTTATCTAAAAAAACATTGAATGTCCCTTTCTGTTTAACTAAAAATACTCATTGTTAATTTTTTGTGTATGACCTCATGACAACTATGTCATACACCTTTCATTATATACAATTCGAATTATTTAACAGTAACGTCGTCAAAGTGAATAAGAACCAAATTCCGAAGTCAGTATTAGTCACCTCGACAATATGAATGAGTTTTGTTGAAGATTCCTGATAAGCGGTAAATCCACATAAGAAGCTTACATACAAATAAGTTCATACACGAAACTTCACTGATTGGACCGAATGACACCGCTTAATTTTATAAGTGAATATTGTTTCATATTACTTGTCAGATGGATATACAGACTAAAAAATACTAGTCTTTTGATTGATTAAAAGGGTTTAAATATAGTTATTCAGAACTATTATGGTATGTGCTACTGATGTCTATAGATATAACTAGTATGTATCATCAATCGAAAGTGAAATAACTGATGGCAGAAGGTTAAGAAGATCAAAAAAGAGAACAAGAGCATAGAATGATTGGTGTGGAAACGAAGGAACAACAAAGTCTGAAACGATTGAATGATATTTAACAGATGAAGTATTTACTGAAGGGTTCTCAGATTTTACCAAGATATTCTGTAATGTTGTCCCGCTTTTCTCGTTCACTACACTTTCACTTATCGAAACAGGAATTCCAACATGACGAACTAAAGTGTAATATCATTATTTGTGTTGTGACTTATATTTGCACTATGCGTCTGACAAGTAACTTCTGGTTTTACTATCCTGGTTAAATAATTTCTCAGAAAAACGGAAAAGAACTAGTGTTTGTTCATAATTCTATTCTTAATTCAAAGTGAAACAAAAATTAAACTGAATAAACATATGTGAATACCAAACTTTTCTTTGATTATACACGAATATACACTGAATAGTTCTTCCAGGAATATATAGGGTTGACAAACAACCCAAATACATTTTCTGACCGTAATCTTTACTGTTGATAACGAAGAGAAATTTGAGTCATAGTTTAAGCGTATTTGAATAGCTGCTAACAATGTAATCTAGAACACGCATTTCCACTTAGTTAAGTCTCATCAGCCGTACGTACATGCATCCCAACGTTTATATTCATATTAAGATACGAGCCCATTACCTAGCACTTATATGCTACTAAGCATATCCACCAAGCTACTGAGTCCAAATAACCACTGAATTCTTCGCAAGTTATGAAGCCTATTCGTAAGCCTTCAAGTTTTGTGGAATATACTTTGAACTCCGATTTCTCAGTTTTCATTTAAACAATTCATTTGTATAATAATAAAAAAATAGTTCTCTCTTACGTTTTTTTAATAATATCGTCCTTATGGGTGAAATTCACATTAAAGTAAATTTAGTGTTGAATAAATATTCAATTATAAACGTACACAAATCAACAAGTAACTTTTCTATCACAGTTATAGAGAACAGGGACACAACTGTGAACCAAGTAATATTGATGAATACCTGAAAGACTACAGTAAGGTACGGATATATTGTATATATCGAGAAATGTGAAATAAACCCTTTTGTAACTGTCTCTATCAGAATACGTATCTGAAAACTAGAACTATGCACTAAATACAAAGTACACTTTGTAACTGTTTTCCTCAATTACATATATGTTAAATACTTTCTAGTTCAGTCAAACTTCTTAATACTAAAACCTTATGCTGTAGAATAAATATTATGATAACTTGTTTGAGTAATTATGTCAGTCAGTTCTTGTTGAACCTTTTCCCCAATATAAATGATTGGAACCAAATCAAAGTGCTGATCAATTTTATTGTACTACATCGAATTCACTATTGATTAATGTTTTTAAAAATTTTCACTGCCCATTCGACGATGTTAATCTGTAAAGCTAGAAAAAGGATTTACTCAATTTTAAGAATTTTCGTTGTGTTTTTTTTAATTGAAGTAAGCCTCAACACAATTCAACAGTAAACTCAGAACCATGAGGTTTTGATATTATCCGTCTATCAAAATATCAACCAATGTATTCAGTTTGTTCTCAAATTTAATTATTATCATTCTGTAATTCCACTTTACAGACTTTTAGATCATGTACTAACTATTCGTTTTGTACAAAACATTGACATGGAAAATAGAAATTTTAATATTCAGCATTTTATTCAACTAAATGAATATAAAGTTTGTTTGTCATACATTAATTTACAATATGATGCTAAGATCAACAATTCGTTTTTATAGGTTTATCCAATAAACGGGTGAGACTACAATTTATGGATGACTTTTGAGTGATGCCAAAGTGACCTACTGTATAGGAGTAAATAAAGAATTAGAATTATGATTTACAGTTGATAGTTAGGGTTAGGAATCGGAGTTAGGGTTTTCATCACGAAATGATATCGGCTATAATGTCAAAATGCTATTTAGCCAAATGTATGGATAGATTTCGCGCCGAAATCCAAGACTTGTTATCTTTTATCTGATTGGTTCGTCCATAAATTATAGTCTGGACAATAAATGTTTCATTCTTTATTCTACAAATAAAGTAGTCTATTATTAATGAAAATACTATAGTTATTTGATGTTTTATTTTCAGAAAATTTACTCTTAAGACAACTCTTAAACTTTCAATTACCGAAAGATTCAAATTTTCATTCTATCAGTAGTTTATCACCAACTGCATGGAATCCAACATGGTCTGCTTTATTCTGGACAACATGGTCCGAATGGAAAAGATGTACACAGAATAAACATTGTACAAAGCACTATCACAATAATAATAACAATAAGTCGGAAATTATTGAGAATCTGTTATTTCGAACACGGGTATGTCAATTTCAATCAATGAATGAACAACTGTTATGGTCACAAGCAATGATTAAAGGTGTCAATTTATCAGGTGACTTATCTACTTGCTCAGAAGAAGGTTTGATTCAAAGTGATGTCAAACATTGTCAGGATTTGCTTCAATGCATCGACAAAAGTAATCATTTTTAGTTTTGGTAACTTGGTACATTATCGACCTCTTTAACACCAAATAACACTTTTTGATACTTTTTTTTCATTCTATACTGTTCGTATTCTCTTAAAAAATTGATAGCCACTAATGTTGAAGTCACCAATTTAAATAGAAATCGGGTATACATTTAATTATTTTTGCTTAAAAGTACACACTTTTCTGTTATACTTAGCAACTGAGAAAAAAGGATATGTTATTGAATATTATTAAGTGTTTAAATAAGTTCGTTTAAATGCTAGTTTAAATGAATTCTACTGTATTTTAATAACGTAGCATAAAAGCCGACTCACAAACAAGATGTGTCTTCTCTACCATTGAGTCAGGAAGGTTTATATGACTAATAATTAATCGGTCAAACGTCAAACGGAATTTTGTTATCATTAGCTTGCTAAAATGATTTCATTTCCAACTTAATAATTCCCTGTTTAGTCATGTCATTAATATAGTGGTAGATTGAATAAGAGACAATCCTAAGATTATATAATCGCATACCCTAGTTTCTAAATCAAAACACAACTCGTACACAGAGTAATCCATTTTTTTACACAAACTTGTGTTTCATTTGTATTGCACCAATTACTTGGCTCCTTAAGTTACTTTGTAATATTATATTGTTTTGATAGACATGAAAAGTTCACTGTTTGAAGTAAATAAATACTATTTGTAAAATAAATCTATCTCCATGTTATGTTGGAACGTCGCTAATTGTTATTTCTGAATCACTTGTAAAACGAGGAACCACCGCCATTCTCATGACGTGAAGTAAGAACCATAGGACTGGTACAAACAAAGATTCATCAAACCCAAAATACGACGGCCCTAGTCGAAAATACACTCATTAGAATGAAATTGCATATATGGAAAATACCCAGAGTTATGATTAAATCACATACTACATGTCATGCTGAGCATAGTTCACGTCAATTAAATACAAGTGTATCTTATCTTAAACAAACACCATACTCAAATACCGAATAAAATATCCCACTGGAAAACAAATACTTTACTGATTAACCGTCACGGTGGTTATTTTGACTAAAATTCCCAACGAGTAAAAGAATGTAATCTTGTTTTTTATTCCAGTCATATCAGTCCTGATCATATATTGATGGTAACTTGATGAAACTGTCAAGGTTTTAACAAAAATAAGATGCATATAAATCCTAGACATTACTCATACAATAATGATATATTCGTGACACCTCCATGAGTAGAAATTAGTATTTCTGACGTTTCGTGACTTAATGTAAAGCACTTATTCAGAATACGAAGTTAATAACCGAATTAAATTAACGCAAGTTCAAATTGTTTTATGGAATAATGCAGAATATTTAGTATAATCTAAACCATATTAAGTCTGAGTATGTCAATATCATTTGAATTGTTTTGGCCAAGATGATTCTGTGTGACATCACTTTGTATATTTATGTGTACGATGGTGGGTACCAGAAATGTGTAGTTTGTAATACAAAGTTGTAGAGTTAAAACTTGAGTGCGCGTATGTGTACATTTTATGGGGAATGAACAAGTTTAGATTTAGTTGTTTGGACAGATAGTCCCAGTAGGATGAACAACCAACCCTTCTTTTCTATTGAGGATTCAGGGGCCTTATGCGAAACACTTTAGTTACTCGCCTTTCTGTATAGTTCGGAAAACCTTTAGATATTTTTAATATAGATTCGGTGGTTATTAAATATAGTATGCTATTACAGATGCAATTTGTAAATTTTTCAACTCTATGAGATCACTAGCTGCTTTTGTGTAGATTAGGTGCTCCCTGGAACGAGTCGAGATTTTACGAGATTCTCCCATGTAGAACTCATCACACTCGACATAACCTAGTCTATAAATGCAATTCCGGGTGGATGTAAATGAAGTCTTATACTTAAATCGGACTAAAGCATTTCGAAATATGTTTGTTAGTATTAAGATAGAATCTTTGTGGAGTTTCTTTAGTTTAAACTTTTAATCCCCAGTTCGTGAACAAAACCTTGCTGAGAATCAAACACGAAACTTCCTGCCCTCTCAATAATCACAAAACTTTCAAAACAACGAATCAGAATTCAGTGTTCCACACTCCAGATATCGTCTAGTTTTTATTAACATTCGACAGTCCTTAAATGTTGCAACTGATATCTACCTCATGCTTCAGCATATTTAACCTTATGGAAGGTAATCATTAGTGAAAATAAGATTTTTATCAGGTTAAGGAGTAGACAGTTGGTATGAGCTGTTTTGGAGTCTGGAATTCGTACTTCATCGAATTTAGACCGTGATCGTAGCAAATTCTAAATAATAAAACATTTTCATTTAAAATTGAAAAGTCTTTAGTCCTCTAAACTTATTGAGACCAGTTTGATAACTCTACATCTAAAAGTACGTTGTGGGGTATGTCATCGCCAATGTTACCTAATTTCTACAAAATAAAGCGAAGCTCTGTGGATTTGTCTTCAAGAAAATGAAATTTGATATTCTCCAAGATCTTACTTCATAGGAATTGTGCTATAAATAAATAAACAATCAAAACCTGTTGAGAACCCTAAAAATTACACTTCTTGTTACAGTAAACACCCACAGAACCTACAAAATTTTAAAACGAATTATTATAATCTACTTTTAGGTGTGAATATTGTCAATAATTCCAGTTTCAGAATTTATTAAAACAAAACAAACTCCTTATTTTCTCCTAATTACAGCTTCATCCAGAAATCACTCCTTCCATGCATTGTCAAAATCAAGTTTGAAAAACTTTTCTTCTAAGTGTGGAGAAAATGGATGTGATTTTACGGATACTACCGAAAATAAAATCAACATGGAAGGTAAAATAAGTAGTACTATATTTATAGTTGATGTCAATCTTGGCAATTATCCGTCTTACACGCATCTACTGATATGAAAAACATGTCTCTAATATATAATTCTTAATATACACTGATTGATCGTTAAATAATAACCTATGTGGTATTTGTTTCATTCACTAGTCTACGGTTAGATACTGTGGGAACTATGTCTACGAGTAAAGTAATTAGACTTAGTCTACAAGAACCTTGAAATGAGCCACCTAGTTTTTGAGTTGCTTTCGAAAACATGGCATTGAGATCACACTCACTAGTAAACGCTAGATATAGGTCTTAATATGGTGAACAGTTAGTTAGCAAGGAGATATAGTAAACCAAAGAGATCATTCGGGGACAAAGAAGGAAAGACAATCATTGAGATTTAAGAACAGAGTAACAGATGGGTGGAATACTTCGAGGAACTACTGTATAGACCAACCCCACTGAATCCACCGGATATCGAATCAGCACACAGACCTTCCTATAGATGTCACTCTACCAACGATCGAAGAAATCAGGATGTTCATCAGACAAATCAAGAATGGGAAAGCGGCAGGACCTGACAATATACCATCTGAAGCGCTGAAGTCAGACATTGAAGTAACAGCAAAATGCTTCACCTTCTATTCAAGAAGATTTTGGAAGAGGAACGAGTGCCGACAGACTGGAATGAAGGACATCTCATCAAGGAGATCTGAGCAAATGTGAGAACTATAGAAGCATCACACTGCTGTCAGTACCAGGAAAAGTTTTTAACAGAGTGTTGCCGAACCTAATGAACAACTCAGTAGACGCCCAAGTTCGAGATCAACGGGCCGGATTCCGTAAGGATCGGTTGTGTAAAGACCAAATCGCAACACTATGAATCATCGTCGAAAAATCAGTTGATTGGAACTTGTCACTATGCATCAGCTTCATTGACTATGAGAAGGCGTTTGACAGTGTGGACAGGAGAACATTATAGAAACTTTTTTGACACTATCGTGTATCTGAAAAGATTGTCAGCATTAGTTGGAACTCATAGGACGGACTACAGTGCAAAGTGGTGAATGGAGGACAGCTGACAGATGCATTTCCAGTAAGGACTGGAATCAAACAAGGGTGTCTACTTTCCCCTTCCTCTTTCTTCTGGTGATTGACTGGATTATGAAGACGTCGACATCTAAGGGGAAGCACAGAATACAATGGCCAGCTCAGAATTACTTAGGAGATTTAGACTTCATAGATGACCTAGTCCTCCTATCTCATACACACCAACAAATGCAGACGAAGACAACAAGTGTAGCATCAGCCTCTGCATCAATAGACCTCAAAATACGCAATGGAAACAGCAAGATCTTCAAATACAACACAGAAAGAACCAAACCAATCACACTTAATGGAGAAGCTCTGGAAGAAGTAGAAACTTACGTACCTGGACAACATCATCGATGAACAAGGAAGATCAAATGCAAATGTAAAGGCGAGCATTGGCAAAGCAAGGGCAGCATTTCTACAATTGAAGAACATACGGAACTCAAAACAACTGTCAACTAATATCAAAGTGAGAATCTTTAATACGAACGTCAAGACGGTTCCACTGTACAGAGCTGAAACGTGGAGAACTACTACAACCATCATCGAAAAGGTACAAGTATTTATGAATATTTGCCTACGCAAGATACTCACCATCCATTAGACGGATACCATCAGCAACAGCCTTCTGTGGGAGAGGACAAACCAGCTCCCAACTGAGAAGGAAATTAGGAAAAGACGTTGGAGGTGGATAGGAAATACATTGTGGGAATCAGCGAACTGTATCACGAAGCAAGCTCTAACTTGGAATCCTGAAAGGAAACAGACAAGTGGAAGACTAAAGGACATATTGTAAATGATTAGAAACTGGAAACATCTGGAAAGGATTGCAAAGGACACAGTTGGATGGAAAATGTTGGTGGGCATACATCGAGAAAATAATCAAACTGCTTCACGAGGCAAGTTTTAACTTTTAACACTGAAGGAAAATGGAAAAGAGGAAGGCCGTTTTTATTAATAAGATTTGTATATAGTGATTAGGTCTAACAAGTAAACTGTAGTGACTTTCTAGTCAGCTCCTTGTAAAGTGACTTCAAATCCTAATGATTATTCATAGACTGAACCAATGCAACAGACCCTTCGATATAAGCAGATGCTATAGGCAACCATGTATCCATATCATCCGACAAAAAATACCATTAATAATTTGTTCTGCCATCTTTTCTATGAACATAGATAATTGGACCACGGAAAGACTTTCAGAACGCAGTGAAATTTGGGGACCATGGACAACATTGCAAGAGTGCTCAGCAATTATTCCTACAATTGATGAACTACCGGAAGAATATCCCTGGGAATTAATGCTCAATTTAACTCGAGCACCAGCTGGTAGGAGATGTGAACCAGGATTACAACTCCAGATCCGAAAGTTACTCAGTGAATCTAATTCTATCAAAGAGGTGAATACTGTTCTTTTAGAAATGTTCGATTAGTTTCGTTAAACATGAAATATTATATTTTTTTCATTTTATTACATTGTCAATTTGAAAGAGATGCCAACCCAATCATTGTACTGGGTCTTGCTTATTATCAACATTCAATGTCATTAAATTACATTGAATGCAAATGTATTTTGGAAACTAATCAATTGTTTAGGAGTAAGTGGTCGCTTACTGCCATGATTCACAGTAACGTTATTTAGAATAACCATCAAATGTCATTTTGTAGATAAAATTGCTGATAAATTATTCCTAAGGAGATGCAACAAATTAAATATTTTTGTAATGATAGGGATGATTTGAAGCTCAGGTTCATCCCTTTGGTTGCATTTAGATCTCTAAACCGGATGATTTAGCTCTACAGCTTTCATCATCGCTTCCGACAACATCAACAGCTGTTTCATGCAAACTTCTACATGGAATCAATATTAATTCAGAAAAGGGTGTAGGTTTTCCGCAGGATTACATGGGTGATGTTGAAACCGGGAGATTTATGCTGCTTATCTTAACACTAATTACAGAGAATATTAAATTTATGTTTGAAAGTAAACAAAACCTAATCTTAAACAACAGACCTTAGAAATTCGATTAAAATATCGTCTGACTATTACAGCGATAAAAGTTATCAAAAAACATATGTTATTTAAATGAAATATTTCCTTTGTGGAATTAATCCAATACATGTTAACTCGTAATAAATGTTTTCAGCATGAAAATCCTCAAAAGGAACAAAAGTTACCACCAGCATCGATAGCGATAGCAACAACAACAATTACAGAAACACGTAAAATTCACTGTTGGATAAATGAAGCCTGTCATACATCTGACGTGAAAGTTGAACCACCAAGCACATGCTTTTTTCAAGCTATACATCGTAGTCCATCTGCACAAGTTAAATGGCGTCGAACACCATACGGTCGTATACCATCTCATTTTGAAGTACATGTTCTAGATCTTATAAATTCTGTTCATTATCGAAAATCTGAACTTTATGTTGAAGAAGTTAAATTAAACAAATTAGATCCATGGGGAGAAAATTATGTTTTAGAAATATTTGGTCTAAAAATTGGTCAACCATATGAAATTAGTATTGCATCTGCTGATGAAATGAGTAATTTATATTTTTCAAAATCTTGTGAGGCAGTAGTTATTATTGGAGCCGGTGAGTTTATTATAAAATCTATAAAAAGATATCAATTCGTATTAATGTTATATTTACTTAACAAAAATTTCTTAGTGGACTAACTATGAAATCTGTTGACTGACATAACTGAAGTGATGTTATGAAGTGTGATTTTACTAAAGGTTAAAAACTCGATTCACATGCAACAAGAATGTTTCTAAGGTCACCATATAATAACTTCTTAATCTCACCTACATAGCGAATTGTCCATTTTGCCCAAAACGTTGTGTCTATAAGCTTTATGAAAGTAGACATCGAATGAGGTAAATTATTTTATAAATCTACAGTTTTTCAGCCCTATATCAATGGAAGCATAAAATCTGTTTGTCCTCTGTATTTCTTTCATTTGCATGATATAGACTCAAACAACAGTTTTATAATCCAGTAAAATTAATTCCACAAATCTTATTAAATTTTGAAAATATTTTATTGAGTGAGGAAAAACTGATTGAGATAGGTAAACGTTTAAATAGTATGACGTTTGTGGTTGAACTCGGAATAACTGAAGGGGACCAAGTGAGTAAAATCGGATCATTAGATTTCTTCTTACATTTCTATTTTCACTGTCTGTCAGAAGTAACCAGCTTAGTTCAAGACGGCTTTGAATGCACAAATAAAAACACATCTTTTTGTCCAACGTGACTTTCCAAACATTTTAGACCCCTAGGTTTGGATCATTCAAAGTTAACCGAGAAACACTAATACCTATAAAAAACTATCATTTTCCTATAATGGTGAATAGATTTGTTTGAAGTTTGTTGCATACAGATCCGGCCTCTCAAATAAACCAATGTAAAATATATTCGTAATCCTTCATTTAGCTTCAATGGTTTTGATCTATTAGTTTCCTGAAAAGAGTTAAGTGAAAAAACTATATTACATACTACATTAAAAAATAAAAGTATGTACCTGTAGTTAATTAATCGGTCATATAAGCGAAGTACGTAAACAAACGAAATTCTTTACAAAGGCGCTGTTGAGACAGTTAAAGAGTCAATATGTAAAACAAAGTAATAAATAATGATGTATCAAATAAATTCATTTCCTCTTATTTTTCCGTTTGTTAGTTAGATTTTATGGTGTTTATTGAATTAGTCTTTCTTGTATATATATGTCCTCCGTTATCCCATTTGTGTACTGGTTTGTTAGATGGCTAATCCACTTTATAACAGCAGCCACTTACAATGTTGAGAACCCAGTTTAGCTAATACAGTTGACTGATATATAGATGAATATTAATTAATCCACTTGATTTCAACAATACTCTATTAAATCTCATCGGGAAAAATTATTTTGCCAATAAATTTAATAACATGATTATTTGAAAACAGATTTTATCAATCAGTTCCGACTGAATTTTCTAAAAATTCTATTTTATAAGGTTTTTCTCAAGACCGCAAGTTAGAATTCACTTTTATTTCATGTCACAACACTCAAATAATGACTCGTATCTTAGCTTCCCAAACTTTCAGGCCTTTTAACTGGACTAATGATGAATAAAAAATAAAGAGTTAGAACAAAATAAGCTTATTTTTATGGGACAAATTCATCGAGAAAAGCGCTTTTATCACTATATGATAGGGATAATAAATTAACATTTTTTCTTACAGGTGATGGTTCATGGTCAAAATGGTCAAACTGGAGTAACTGTAATTCAAAATGTGCATCAAAATTGGGCACACGTAGTCGATATAGAAAATGTAACTCACCAGCACCTAGAAATGGTGGCCGTGTATGCCCTGGTTCAGAACAAATGGACTTCGAATGCTTTGGAACTAATATTAATTGCTAAATAAAGATTGACGTTAGTTTTTTTCAATTCTAAAGAGTGTTGTTCAGTATTTTTCTAACACACAATCAAATAGTCCGGTAGAATATAAAACACCATTAGAACAAGAAATGCAATCGGATAAAGTTTGATATATACATCGAAAGTTTTGAGTAAGCTTTCTATACTTTTTCTTCAGACACTATTAGCTTTGGCTGAATACAAGAATATTTCCTATTCAGGTGTATCTCTAACAGCATATGATCTTACATTTTATGGTGCTGATAGATCATACTTATCAACTATTCATACTTTAATGGCAAGATTTTGCTTCAACTTTACCGGATTCAAGAATCGCTCCACTGTTCGTGTAAAATAATAAGATTCAGAGAAGAAATGTACAATTATAGACAATAGATGTTTGGTCTCAATTAAATGTTTGGTCTCACAGAACGTGCTGGTAACCTGGAATGAAATAGAGACCGTGTAGATATAGTGAGCACGAATATATATTAAGACGGAACGTTGCTTTGAAATATAATCCAAATGTGAACACTCCAGAAGCTGGATTCATCACCTAACTCGATTATATATATTAACTTGAGTCTGTGATTACCATCTTTTATAATATGATTCGTAACACCAAGTATAGAAAATGTTCGCTGTCCCGGAGTGACCAAAACACAAAGCGAAAAGACGAAAATACTCGAAGCTGAGCAGTAGAATCAAATAGGCTTCAAAGGGCCATTGACACAATCATAGCCTTTAGACCAACCGCTTAATTAGCTTGATGGTAATATGCATATTATGGTAAAGTAGCTATATTTCTCGATTTACTTAAGAAACGGGTTGTTTTCCATCTTACAAGTGTGTCTGTTCTATCAGTAATAAGTATCGCTAACAATGGATCCAAGTAATAAAATACTACAGTTAGGTCCACTAAATGGCTTCTATAGTTTATGTACGCCATTGGCCATTCTTGTGCCTAGCCATATATAAGTCTACAGGATCTCGATGTTTGCACTTAAATTTCGTAGAATCGTAGGGGAAACAAAGTAGTTGTAGTTTTTTTTAATCAATAATGTCTAGTAGTAATAACGTTGTGAACGAGAAATCAAGTATGAAAAACCAATTTATTGTTTAACGCTATATCACACAGTGGCCAAGTAAAATATGGACATCACACAATAAATGCATCATTCGTACATCTTCTTTGCTTCGTCCTTTACGTACGTCATTATTCCTGCAATTCTGATTTTATTTCGACTGCCATCTGATTTCCGTCCTGTTCTCATTTCGATCTCCTGCTGATAAGCATTCCACATTTGACTGATGCTACACATTACTTATATTAATCTGTATAAGTACCATACACCACAATAATAATCTCAATAATAAGCGAATTCAGCTTATTAACATCGTAGTTTTTAACTTGTTATGTGACCGATGGACCTGAGTATATATTTGCCGTGTCCTGCTTTATATTCCTTACAATTTTCGGTGTTCTTAACATCCATAAAGAAAAAATTGTTCCGAAGATTATTTAAGATCAAAAGTGGATGTTTTATATGATAATTAAAAACATTTTTCGCGTGATAACAGTGGTGATTTCATAAATTTTTTGCGGACAACTCATGGTGTTTCAGCTCGAGCGTAGCCGTCAGAGACACACCCTAAACTCAATGTTCTGATTACATACTGGGCCAGTTATTCGCAGAAGTGCTGTAGAAGGAAGGTTAGAAATTATTGAGCATACAAGCTAGCTGTGAGCAGTAGGTTAAACAGAAGCTATAGATCAAGATGTCTTTGGATAACTCTTAACCGGACACAATAGGTTGTTATGAATATATTTAGTTGATGAAATCGATCATGAAAATTGAGGTTGGATGTCAACGACAATAATCCGACCTGTAATACTTTCTAGCAAAGTATATGACGTAAATGTTGCTAAGTCTATAACTGGGAGCAAATCTACGTTGTTCCTATAGAAACGGGACAAAGCACAGAAACTTCTTCACATTAATATTTAACTCTGAATAAATAGACCTAAATAAGGAAGACTAATCTTTTCTAGTTCAAAAAGTGCTCAAAAACTAAGGCCTGAAATACTGATAAAATTAACAGGAAGTTCTTGAAACAGGCCCTTAGTAATTGTCACTAAGCGGTTGGGGGGATAGTTGAATGTGATTTAAATCATGAACCGACCCAAATTAGACCGCCGATGAAAACCTGAGAGCGCTGCATGGCCGTTTTGTTCTAATATCAGACTGTTCATCAGTGAGCAGTTACGACCTTGCACTCCCTCTTCCAACTCAACACCTTTGGTCTCGAACGTGGAAGTTAAACGTCAGAGACCACTGAGGCGGCATCCAGCGATGTCAACTACCAACCTCAATCAATCCACCACATTGAGCGACCATCAATCATTGTGTCCTTTGAATTGCTGACTTACATTCGGACAAAAGAAGAGGGTTATGCATAAGGAAACCAACCCCACCATGTAAAAAAATAACTCTGCCAAAAAATCCATAGCCAAGGATCTTCATTTATGAAGTTATGACGCCTCGTGATGAAAGCTCAGACTTTTCGAAAGTCACCAGACTGACACCACTCCTGTCAACCAGATCAACATGGAATGTCCGAACAATGAGGCAGACCGAGAAAATTAATCAAGTAGCTACTGAAATGTGGAGATACAACTTTGCGTTTCCAAGAAAAAGTGAAACCTATTGATCACAAGCTGGACAGAAAACAGTAGATTCGGGAAAGCTGCTCTTGTACTCCGGTCATGAAGAAATAAATGCTAAATAAACACAGTGATTTCTATTGATACTGTTTAAAGAAGCACGAAAACCACATATAAGACGAAAAGCTCATGGATCCAGAATCATTAAACATCCTTCAAAATAAAATAGGAGGGGATGACGAAGAATGGGAAGGAAGATCAACGGAAGGCGTAAGAACAATGAGAGAACATAGCTAAAATAGCTTTAGATAATCACTTAGTTGTGGACAAGGTGAAAATGAAAATAAAGAAGTACTAAAAAGTTGGGGAAACAATGTCACAAAGTTTAGTACACATTTTCTTCAAGATCCTGAAGCACTCAACAAATTCTAGATGCCTGGCAGCAACAGGTTTCAAGTCTTACAAGATCTGGTCAAAAAAGATAAATGTTATCAAGTGCTATGCGCCCACAAATGATGGCAGTGACGATGACAAAGACCTGTCCTATGAGTGGCTGCAATCAATAATAGCGAAGTGCCTACGAAAGGACCAGGCAATTCTGATGGGAGATCCCAACGCAATCGTTGAAGTGGACAACACCGAGTATGAATATATCATGGGACAACATAGACTGGTTGTAAGAAAAGGACGAAAATGGCGGGAAATTTGCATACTTATGTGCATACAATAAAATGGTTATAGACGGCACAATTTTCCCCCACAAACTCATGCACAAAGCCACAAGGGTCTTATTGAATCACAACACAGAGAATAAAATCAATTATATTTGTATCAATAAAGATTTCGGAAGATCCACAGAAGATGTAAGATCAAATAGAGGATATGGCTGACATGGCGTCAAATCATCACTTGGTTCTGTCAAAGGGGAAACTGAAACTAAGATGTATTCTAGGTGAGGACAGGTGTCAGACGAAGTTGCATACTTTTGCCCCATATGTTTCTTCTAGTGGTTGATTGGACTATTATGGTATCGACATCTGCGATGAAGCATGGGATACAATGGACAGCTTTGATGCAACTAGGTGATTTAGACTTTGCTGACAACCTAAACCCTCCATTCCATACACACGAACAAATGCAGGTGAAGACATCTAGTATGGCAGAAGCCTGTGCATCAGTAAGACTCAACACACACAAGGGAAATGGCGAGATCTCCAAATACAACACAGAAAGAACCAAACCAATCACACTTAATGGAGAAGCTCTGGAAGAAGTAGAAACTTACGTACCTGGACAGCATCATCGATGAACAAGGAAGATCAAATGCAAATGTAAAGGCGAGCATTGGCAAAGCAAGGGCAGCATTTCTACAATTGAAGAACATACGGAACTCAAAACAACTGTCAACTAATATCAAAGTGAGAATCTTTAATACGAACGTCAAGACGGTTCCACTGTACAGAGCTGAAACGTGGAGAACTACTACAACCATCATCGAAAAGGTACAAGTATTTATGAATATTTGCCTACGCAAGATACTCACCATCCATTAGACGGATACCATCAGCAACAGCCTTCTGTGGGAGAGGACAAACCAGCTCCCAACTGAGAAGGAAATTAGGAAAAGACGTTGGAGGTGGATAGGAAATACATTGTGGGAATCAGCGAACTGCATCACGAAGCTGTAGTGGCGTGCTTCGTTAATCGATCGTCTCGATAACCGTTATTATATCAATCTGAACGGTGTATAATATCAGAAGACAAAGGGAAGTGGCAACTACATTTTTATTGACAAATAACATAGGCTAGAAGGCAGTGAGCACATGAGCAAACGTTAGCGAGCGAAGTAAAAATGACATGAATGGGAGATGGCGGGGAAGCCAACTCGCTATAAGCAAGCATTAATCAATTTTTATACTCAGACAAAAATGAATGACAGATATGTGATAGGTAGGATAAGAAGTGTGCATACACATACGCTCATATAAAAATATAGTCAAGGTCAATAAGCGAATAATTAACAAGATCATAATATGACTCATAACGTTATAGGTGAGTTGGCTTGTCCAGAAACTAGAATAAGCTATGTAGGTGTAATATAGTACACGACGTTACACTACTCCCCACAAAGCAAGCTCTAACTTGGAATCCTGAAAGGAAACAAACAAGTGGAAGACTAAAGGACATATTGCAAATGATTAGAACCTGGAAAGAGGTGAAAAGGATTGCCTAAGACTGGGTTGAATGTAGAATGCTGGTGGGCAGCCTATGTTCGTCAACCAGGGGTGACAGGCTTACGTTAGTAGTGGGACAAGATTTAACACATCCTAGATTCATAAAGGGACCAGAAACTTTCATCGAAATTCCTTTGTGTGTGCGTTCCGACCTATCTCTAACTCAAAGCAGATTGCTAAAAGACTGGGCGGATGGCATAGTAAGTCCTGTCCTTTTGAAACATGTACGTGACACGAATGTGAGAACTGTATGCTTGTAATTCTAGGTAGTGTGATTTATAAGGTATTAAGAGTGATTTTTCAGAAGTAGTGTAGTATGCGAGAACTCAGATGATACAAATGTATTTTTATATAAAGCAAAATTATAGAGTGCCTTCTTAAAATATGAAAACCATACCATAAAGACAGTATTTGCACATCTTCCTTCAGTTGTCCTTTACATGCTCCATGATTCTTTCAATTCTGTGTTCATTACGATCGCTCACTGTCAACGTTCTCGTTGTATTCAGTTCAGTCTTCTCAATCTTCTGCTGCTATGCATTCCACGGCTGATTTGTGTTACATACTACTTATATTTATCAACGTCAGTAGCATACACCACAGTAGATGTTTAAATATCGAGAAAAATTGGATCATTTCTGAAGAGCAGAGTGAATTTGGAGCAGGTCATTCATTTAACACAAATTCTCGCTGGTGCATTATGACATACGTTGGCGACAAAGATACAGATACATGCAGTGTGAATAACATTGAACTACCTGCTTTCAAGACACATACTGGTGATCGTTAGCGAGGACTCAAAAACTACTGCGCACTTCCATGCGATAGCCGTCATGTGTTCCAGAACACTCTAGTCAGTGACTAGGACCTTCATCCATGTCGTTGCTAAAATCCTTCTGATTTTGTATGCAATAACTGTTCACCCTAAACCCGAGCATCGCATACAAGCAATCGGTCCCCGCCAAAAACGACAATGAGTTGTTGCAAAAGGTTCAAGGGACAACAATCGAATTGATTCCCAGCATGACAAACCTGCCGTGCAATGAGAGGCTGTCCAGACTAAACGTATTTCGTTTGCCATTTAGACAGAACAGAGGTTACTTTTTCAGAGAACGAATGGAACTCATTACCTCTACGATATCCTACTAGCAACAAGCGCTGGAACTTCAAACGGTTGAATGTGTTAGCTTTACAGGACTATCTACAACAGGTGGATTGGGATGTTCACCCTCAACTTGAAGTGGATGCTCATTGGGATTTTTTACTGCATACGATCTTATGTGCTACTGAGCATTCAGCTCCTAAAATGGTCCCAAAAAGCTACAAGCAACCCCCAATCATCAAGAACCGCACCCGTCGTTTGCCAAGCCGCAAAAGGCACTGTTGGGATGAATATAAACGAGCTGATAACAACGGCGCGTACATGCAATAAAAACATATAAGGAACATATGCACAAAGGCAATAAGAGAAGACAGGCTTCAGTTCCAGACCAAGCTTATCGATAAATTTGTCTCCAATCCGAAGAGCTTATTCAGTTACACAGCTTCTCTTCGACAAGGCAAAACTGGAGTTTCTCAACTGCTAGGCCCTAACGGCCCGACCAATAACGACAGTGATGCCGCTAACCTCTTGGATGAACAATACTCCCGGACATTCCAGCTGACCCACATCAACCATACTGACGAACCACCCGCACCTCTACAGGACTTTCCGAAGTGGATCTGAGTGCTGACCTGGTGCTCTGTAAACTGCAGCACCTAAGAAAAGACACTTCTCCTGATCCGGATATGGTTCATTCCGCTGTTTTGAGGGAAGCAGCTTCAATCCTGGCGACACCACTTAGCGTGATGTTTGCACACTCGCTAAGCAGAGGCAAACTACCGGAAATATGGAGGCTGGCCCACATCACACCAATTTTCAAAGGAGGTCGACGCAGTGAACGCTCAAACTACCGACCAGTGGCCCTTCTCTCCATACCTTCAAAAATTATGGAATCCCTAGTATACGACGGTGTACTAGAATACTTATCATCCTCAAAGTTCTTCTCGCCTCAACAGCATGATTTCAGGAAAGGTCATTATGGTATGACCAACCTGCTGACTGCGGTGGATAGATGGACAACCATCCTTGATCGCAAGGGGAAGGTTGACGTCATCTACCTGGACTTCTCAAAAGCTTCTGAAAGGGTCAACCATGCATGTCTTATCAAGAAGCTTGGACAATTGGGTATCAAACCCCCTTTGATTGATTGGCTGTCTTCATATTTAGAAAACCGACACTTTAAGGTCAGGGTTAACTTCACTCTCTCTCAGGCTATGGAATGTCCTAGTGGGGTCCCTCAGGGCTCAATACTAGAACCTCTTCTCTTCTTGATTTATATTAACGATCTTCCTCAACAAGTTTCATCTAACTTATTGATTTTTGCTGATGATGTGAAACTTTTGAGAGAGATACGTAGTCATAATGATATATCAGTTCTTCAGGAGGATCTGACCCGACTTCAGAGTTGGGCAGACGACAACGGACTTACCTTCAACACTTCAAAGTGCAAGGTAGTCCATCTGAGACATGTTGCAGACTATAGTTATAACTTAGGTAACTCCGCTCTAGAAGTTTCCCAAGTCGAAAAAGATTTAGGAGTGTTGGTACCCTACGACCTGAAATCGTATGCGAACAGTGACAAAAACGCCTCTCAAGCAAACCTTGCACTGGTAACATTGAAGCGCATTTTTGGCCAGTTTGACGGTAGAACCTTCCATATAATCTTCAACAGTTTTATTCGTCCCCACTTAGAGTCCTGAAACATAGTATTTCCTCCCTCTCTCCAAAAGGATAAGGACACTCTGGAACGTATACAACGTCGAGCAACGAAATCAGTTCGGGGACTCAAATTCAAACCTTATGAAGAGCGCCTTCAATCACTTAACCTTTACCCGTTAGAGTACAGGCGTCTTAGAGGTGATCTTCTTATGACTTATAGTATCCTTAATACTTCTGGTCATCCCCTTAAACATCTTCTTAAGCTTGGTCATAACAATAACCTGAGAGGTAACACCCAGAAATTGGAGACCCTACATAGCAGAACAGACTGCAGACACAACTTCTACTCCGTTAGAGTTGTCAAGTGCTGGAATTCGCTGCCGACTGAGCTAGTCCGAGCGACCTCCCAGGAGTCCTTTAAGAAGAAACTTGACTTATTCTTAAGGACTAAGGATAACATGTTATTATGATTTACCAAATTCATTTTTCCCCACTATTATCATTCATATACCTAGGTTCTCGCCTGGAGGTATTGGTGATCCACTGCTAAGAGACATGGAAGCCCGTTAAGCGAAAGCTTCTTCTATTCCGTCCTCAATCATTTGAACCATTTACCTCAACATAATATTGAAACTCCATCTCTCGACGTTTTAAAAAAATGTCGGATAAACTGTGGAATACCACTGCCAGGACTAACATAGGCCACTCATACTCTTGTCCTTTTCTAACTAAAACTGAAAATGGTACCAATGACAGGTAATGTTTATGCTGAATTTTACAAGATTGAAGCTCGAACAAGCTTATTGTAAATAATTCCTTACAAAGGCCAAAAAGTGTTTTCAACCTCAAGTGTTATTGTAAGGCAACCGACTATGCCGTATCCATTGCTTAAGATGATACTGCACGTTTTCTCTACAACCGAAGTATCCTTGCACTTAAGCCGAAATTTAACTACTCAAGGTCAATGCTGAGGAAGTTGCCGAACGGTGTTTTTCGGGGAATAATAGCCTTAAGCGCTGGTATAGTAACTTATAAATATCACCCATTTGTTGGTACAATAGTTTACGCAAGTTCCGCACAAATTCTCGCCTATATTTTTAGTGTGAAGGTGTTAGTATGCAGCCCACTATTAATGATGGTGACTATCTAGTTGTTGAAAGACTCTCAATCATTTTGGGACGTATTAGAAGGTATAATTCACTCAAAAAACATTCTACATATAGAGGAGATATTGTGATTGCTGGTCAACGCAGGAAGTATGATACTACGCATGTTCTAAAGCGTATCAAGGGTCTTGGCGATGACCGAGTTACTTTCTGGGACAAGAATCATGGGGAAATCATCGCTAAGCAGGTAAACACAACACCTCACAAAATTCGTTAAGATTGTATAGTTTCGGTCAATCGCCACGGACTTCTGTGCCTATGCCTCTACGATTTATTTCTGAATACTAAAAGCGTTCCCTAGATGCAATAGTGAGAAAATTTCCCACATTATCCTTAAAACAAAGAGTATTATATTTATTATCAAAGTCACTTGTCTAGTTTCAAACTCAAGCGTTCTGTTTGTTTGAGACTGGCATCTTTATGGATCAAACCAAGGTTTTCCATAAACGTCAAGTTAACGATAATTTTTCTACCTCATGTCACTTAACTTTGTTAAAAGTAACAAGTGTTTAGATGTCATAATTTTTATATTGGATCACCAAAAGTAAGGCGGACGTGGAAATTGACTAAAAATTCCTAGCTGCTGTTGATTCCAGGAGGAAAATTCAATAAAAACAACCATGCATTCACTATGTAAGATATGTCTCCATTCAGAAACACCTAGCCTTTGCTCGCGCACATCAGGTGAACACAGGTAAGAAAGTCGTTACTTTCAAAATAAATCAGATATTGTTTTGTTCTTTAAAAACTTCATCGACCTTTTAGAGTAATATGACAGTATAAATGTCAGAGAGATGCTATCACTAATGGACGTATTGAGAATCAAGAGGAACAAATGGAAGGCAGGATGAGTTATTAGGACCCGTCAGATACACAAAATGTTGAGCAAATACTTTTGTAACTATCTGCCTGAATTATATTATATCATCACAGGTCTCTAGTCGTCAGTTCTAGTTTTCTCACAAACTAACTAATATAACTAAAACATTACCTACACCTATGGTTAATAACCTAAAGCTACATAAATTCATTGTGTACAGTTTTTCAACAAAGACATTCCTTTCATATTTTACCATAGTTCTAGTAATCTAGTTTGTAAGTGAGTTGAACACTTGTTCCTCCTTCATAGTTTAAAATTTCACTATTAACAGTACTCCAAGTTATTAGTCCCTGTTTTTTATGAGTAATGATGGTTAGAAACACTTGAGTAGTTTATTACTAATGTTTTTAAATTGTCATCTCTGTCTCATAGCCGCTTATTAATCGGTTAAAATCTGATTCTTAGTGTTCTTGGGAGATTTTCACGAATAACTAGGATAATTAAGATCAGCAAATATAAACCACAAAAAACTGAATAAAATTGATTGTTAAGGTTATGGTATCTATCCTGTTTCATTTTAAGTACTTAACGAGTTTTTACTTATATCTTAGTTCTCATTTTCGACACCGACAGATGATTTTAATCTCTTTGTTTCTTGTCGTTACCAGTGGAGTTAAGAAACTTTACTAGTTTGAAAACATCTTTTTACGTAACAATTTGAGTCAACATGGCATTCAGACCTCTCCTTATTCATAACTATGCATTTTCACCCATAGTAATTTGTCGTATTTTAAAGTAACGTGTAGAATGGTAGCAATGTAAAAGAATTAATAATATATTGACGCAACTCTCTCTTCTCAGGTACCTGGAGGTCATGTTTGGTTAGAAGGTGATAATACATTACAGTCATTAGACTCAAGGTCTTATGGCCCTGTCCCCGTTTCTCACTTAGAATACAAAGTATTTCTCCGTGTATGGCCGTTAAGTCACTTTGGACTCGTTCAGACACCAAAACATGCTACTTGTACAACTGATGAACCGTACGACCCTGCTTTTGTACAACGTGGTTTAAAACGAAGAGGAGAACAGGAAGAAGTTAAGGATTTTTGATAACCGTGTGCATAGGGTTTTTTATATTTTATTCGACTCTTAATTATTGACCACCTCTATTGGAATTTTTCTAGTTTGTTAATACCCGTATTCGGGAATGTTCAGAGAAATTATGTGGATCCAATGTCTTCCATTTACTTTTTATTTAATTCCTAACGTTCTGTGTTGTACATATTTCCTTTAAGTTATTGCACTTTTTTGTGAAAATTATTTCCGTCGGTTTGCATTTGTGAAGGTTTACTTTTATTTGTAAATTATTGACTTTCATGTGTATAAAATGCTCTCATTCCAGAACCTGTGTACATACATAGAAATATTTGATACAGGAAGAGAAAATACGAAAGCTACTGAATATTCTTTTCTAGTTTCTGCTTGTCTCAACCAGGGATCTTTATATCCATTTGCTGTTTCTCAATATATTTTTCCAAGTCCTCAAACTAAATACTGACAAAAAGTAGATGTATGCAAAAAGTTACTAATTGTAGAAATTTTAAGAGCTCTAGGTCGCTTACGTGTAAAACTGTACTAAAATTACAGCCAAAGATCCAGAGGTTTTGGTTATTTTACTAATGGAAAATGTTGAAACATAGTAAGTATATTCTATTGTCCCTTTATGTCTGGCCTGTCAACCAGTTGATCTTTTTATTTTATTCAATTACAGCAGATTTAAATACCGTCCAAACATAATTGGAAGTTAATCTGTGTTAAGGTCAATCCTTGCAACACTTAACTAATATTAGGTTATAATAAATTTTTTGTGTTAAATATTATCAATCTCATGACTCATTCAGCTCCATATCTAAGCTTAGGATAGATAACACAGTTTAATATGATAGTAGAGTGTATCTACTCATCAGAATGATAGAGCCACCTTAGGAATTAACTGTATGTGACTGTGACAATAAAGTTGGCAGCATGATCGTTGAAAAGAAGGTTGCATAATACTTTACGCATTTAATATATATCAATATATTAACTCTTTCTCACCTGACAAAAGTAGTCAGTTTAAGCAGTTTTAGGTTCTGATATTTACTAGATATAGTTTCGTCTCAAATTAGTTTACACATACCTGTCTACTTGTTAGTAGTTAAACCATAGTAAAAGAAAGATTTTATCCGCGACACCACTGATTTTAAATTTCGAGAAACATGAAAATCGATTTTCGTCATAATCAAACAGTCTTGTGGACCAGCTTAGTCATCAACAAACCTTTACTCAGTAATCCGAATATGCAGAGCATATTGACGATGTGCACTTCTCTCAAAATCCAGTCATTATCACCATAATGAAAGTTGATGTATTATGTAGTTTAGCTGGGGATTTTGTGAAACTGCTTTCAAGTATTTATCATCAGTTTTACTAATAAGTAAAACCCCCAAAACACTTTGTTAAAGTATACTCGAAGGGGAACATTGCGAAATATTGCATATGTTAGTCTTATTTTGGATTCCAAGGTATTTATTTATTTAAACACATAAATATTGGTACAAAGAAGCACCAGATAAATATGCGCCTCACAAATCTCATTTGATTTGTATGTGGGCTGTGATACTGCCCGAGTGCCCAAACCGAAGCAGGTGGTTTTCTTAGGAGGCCACACCCCGAGCCTAAAGGTCTGGTCCACAAGGCAGTGGAGCATCGTGAGGAGATGCAGTCCCATGGTAGCCGGTGATCAACGGTTGATTCGTACGCCATTTGTTCCTTCAGGATACTGGATCCCATGTGTACCACTGGTTTGGAATCAGGGTTTTCCAACTCCCCTAGGTGAACTTTCCATGTCCACCAACCCGGTTAAAGCGCCGGACATTCGCTTTTCGTCCTCTCACTTTCGTAGACAACACCCCCGCCACGTGAAGGCAGTGAGTAGGACTTCCCTGACAGAGGCTATATATTCGCTGGCCATATGAGAGCATTTCGAGAGGGAGAGGTGACTCTCCCCACTCTCGGCCGTACCAGGGCATTTGGGGACAAACCTATTGCCTCCAGGGAGGTAATAGGTTTAGGAGGAGTACAGTCTTGTATAAAAATCTTTTCATTGTAATACCTGGATAAATTACTTACTTACTTACGCCTGTTACTCCAAATGGAGCATAGGCCGCCGACCAGCTTTCTCCAACCCACTCTGTCCTGGGCTTCCTTTTCTAGTTCTATCCAGTTCTTGTTCATTCTTCTCATGTCTGTCTCTATTTCTAGGCGTAATGTGTTCTTTGGTCTTCCTCTTCTCCGTTGACCTTCAGGATTCCATGTGAGGGCTTGTCTTGTGATGCAATCAGCTGATTTCCTCAAGGTGTGCCCAATCCACTTCCAGCGCTTCTTCCTGATTTCTTCCTCTGCTGGAATCTGGTTTGTTCTCTCCCACAGTAACTTATTGCTGATAGTGTCTGGCCATCGGATCCGAAGTATTTTGCGTAGACAGCTGTTGATGAACACTTGTATCTTCTGGATAATGGCTTTCGTAGTTCTCCACGTCTCCGCCCCATACAGTAGAACTGTCTTGACATTTGTATTGAAAATTCTAACCTTGGTGTTGGTTGACAATTGTTTTGAGCTCCAGATGCTTTTCAGTTGTAGGTATGCTGCTCTTGCTTTGCCGATCCGCGCCACCTGGATAAATTAATCAACTATTAATGGTCAGAAAAATAGCAAGTCATGAAAGGTGAGTTATAATCAATATGTCTGGTGCAGACTGTTCAACTTCTTGTTTAGAAATCGAACTATGAACAGTAAACATGAGCGAAAGTAGGAATCCATAGCCTTCAATAATGATACAATGAACAATAATTAAGGTTAACTGTATAAGATGAAATTATTCTCATACTTTAGCTAACAGAATAATAAGATATTGTTTGTCCATTTTAGAGAAAAAAAAGCTCATAGCTTAGGACTCTCGTACCATATTTCTAATAGTTTGCTTTTATTATTACCACTGATAATACTATTAGTTTGACCCCTTAGCATTCATCTTGTTAATTTCATCTGTTTGTTAATCTGACACGGTATGGGTTAACACATATTTTTTCTCTAGGTCTACGTCGATTCTGACCGACCTACTGAGAGGTTTCATTGCATGACGTGTTTTAAAACAAACCATTTAAGGAAAAATAGAGTTCACCAATTTGGAGTCCTAACACACTGTATTTAGCTAAGCATAGTCATCTTTCTATAAACAACTTTATTCCAATCGCTTGGACAGGTTGTTTTTACTAAACAAGCTTACATGTAATTGTCGTCATCGGATCCATTACTCTGTCACTTAGACTTCAGTTTTTTGATTTACAAAAGCAAAACGACATATAATCTGTCACTGAATATATTCGTTTAGGTACTTAATATAAACTTCACAACAAAAGATATTGATTTTTGAGTTGAATATTGTTTAACTTAATTGCAGTTAGGAAGCCTGAGTGACCTTAATAGTAAATTTATTTATGTAGTAATAGATTCGTAATACTTTTTGGAAGAAATGTAGGTCACTTTATATGCATCATATATTTCAATCATTTTTGAATAAAATAGCAATCTTTATTTAATGTGTAACACCTTAAAGGTATATCCAATAAAAGTTTATTATATTAACTTAGCAATATGTTATGTAAGAAAAATATTCAAATAAGTAAACATAAGTTCCGTTATTGATTTAATATGTAACTAGAACAAAATCTGCTTGATAATACTAAATGACAGTCCATAGTGTAGCATCTATTAGTTACGCAACATGGTTATTCATTCTGTTATTTCACGAAATATCCGATAAAAGTCGCAATAGCGATTATGTTCCAAGATAATGTAAGTTATAGACGTTTACTTCAGTGTAAATAAAGACAATTCTTGTGTAAGTAAACTTGTACTATTTAAACTTGGATTAATGTTAATTTGGTTATTTATTCTCTGAAGAAGTGGCTTACACTGAGTCACGAAACGTCAGAAAATCTAATTTTTCTACTCATTGGGATATTACAAATATATTAATTTATTTATAACAATCTACCCAATGCTCAATTTATTCAAAATTATCAAATCAAAACTTGTTAATAACACCTACAAACCTGAACTAAGTTAACATAAATAAAACTACTGATCAAGAAATTTAGTGATGATACTAATAGTTATTAAACAAGAAGAGTTTAGGTTGACAGTCCCTTAAGGATTGAATAAATAATGAATCAAAGTGAAAACTGATTTTCTATTGAACTGAGTTAAAATAATCAAATCTAACCAATCTTTTCTTCTGTTAACAACTTGTCTGAAATGAATGTAGAAAGAAACCAATCATGGAGAAAGTAGTTATTATGCAATATTTACTTAACGAGGTATTATCTTTTTACTTAAACTTAATTGTACTCAATTATTTCATTACAAATAGGATAAAATAATAATGTTTACCTGAAAATGACCGAGAATCACTTTAATTGAAAAACTAATCATTTAAAAATTGGGTCAACGGATAGTCTTCTATTTTTTTATTGACTGACAATTCACTAGGTGGCATAAAAACTTAAAATAAATAATATTGTTTAACTTTAGATCTCAGATCAGTTTATAGGTAACTTTGGCATTAAGTTTACATTGGTGATTACTAGTCTTTATAATTTTAGATTCTTCAGTTTTAAAAGTTAGTATTGTTGTGAATGAGTTCCATGAATCGGTATCTCCCTTATTATTCTACTGTTTTCCGTATAGTCACGCAAGTAACTCGCTTTAAAACAAGAAATTAACAAGAGTTAAAATCGTCAAAATGTTCTGATGAGTTACAATATTCAAGAAAACATTTCGAAAACTAAGAGTATACTCCAAAAATGGTCTACAATAGTCTCCTGTCAGATCACAATGAAAGAAGTGGTCAAACTGTTTGAGAAAAAAATCCTGTCGGACAAATTCATCAAATCATATTTATGAGAATATGGAGATCTAAATCGACAAACAAGACATGAATATGTTTGATTATGTACCAAACTTTGATGATACAAATCTATAGAGCACTGTTTTTTGCTACATAAAAT